GGTTACGTCACTGACTTTGTACTGGATGGGTACTGCTTGTGTAGTTAGCTGTGTGTATTTTTAGTACAAAACCTCTTGTTAATCAAACGTCAAACTTTTTTTAGACACCATCTTGGAATAGTCCAATAGTAAATGGCATCTGGCTGAAGAATCAATCTCGCTTGGACTCAAATCTTCAGAATTTCAAGACGAACACCGCAGCTACTCAGAAAACCTCCGAAACCAACGCCCGACTCGAGAGAATTAAATACACGTGCTCTTGACCAGTTTTGTCAAAGGGGGTTAAACCAGCAGATAAAAACTTACTTTTTTAATGGTGTTTAAAGAGGTTCTTCATAAGATATATCTCATTCCTTATTCAAACTATTACCTCTTATCCTATGAAGCATGTTATGATGTGTTTCATGTGTGCTTTATATGCTTCATGTGCTTAATTTGTTGACTAAGGATCTTCACCAATGTCTCGTTAATTTTTGAAATAAGAGGGAAATCCTTGCTTGTTAATATACATTTTACTGATGAAAAAAAATTAGAAAAATTGCACCGGTCGAGTCACAACTTACAAGCTACTAACCAGCAGGGCTTGTAACTGTTAGGCGTGCAGCCACCGGCTATAAACCAATTCCTCCAACATTATCAAGACTTATCCTACTTGTGCAAAAGCAACTGTTGTAATTACCCTGCTCGCTGGTTATGACAGACAGACAGTCGGACATCGTCCAGTTCACACCGACACACAACGTGATATGTGACGTCATGTAGCGTGACATTTACATAAATCCTATTGGTTGCTGAGATAACGCCACTTCCACTTGACCCTACTTACTTGAAGAGTGCTATGAATTAATTATCCAAAACTGAAATCTGCTGTTCTTAATGACTAGGTCTTTAATAAATTGGTCTAGCTAAAGAAACTGGACTTTGTATAGTAACAAAGCTACACAACCACACATCACACTTCATTTCAATCTCAACGTTCACACTAATTGATTCACATACGCCCAGTTGCGTCCACAACTGGAGTCTTCATCCTCAATAGGTATGACGACGAACATTTAATATTTTTCTTATGTTCTTGGTGTGTTCTTATGTACCGTAGTAATTTTAATGTTTTTGGGATGAGAACACTAAGCTTCATTGGGTTGCTTTTAATACTGAGCAAATTCCTAAAATATTTAAAAACGTACTTTTAATTTTTTTACATTTTTAATACATCACACAAGGAAATAAATAAGCATTGCTAATTACATTATGATACAAGAGGAAATACAGAAACTTATACTTACTCTATGACTAGTCACGACACTCGTGTTTGCTTCCTCCATGGACCATCAGATGTCAGGTCCTGCTTCTTCTCCTTACTTCCGGACCATTGTAAACCGATAAAATCTTCGAGAGGTGATACTTTCTAGCCCCAAACAAGTTTTGTACAGGAAGACTTCCGTTATTTTGTCTTTCACTTCGCACATTTGCAATCATCTGATTACCGTAATTTAACAAACGCGTAACTATGTTTATAACTCATGTTGCGTTAAAATTGAAAAATAGGTCGTCCAGCTTTGACTAAGACAAAATTTACCAGATTATTCGGGAGGCAAAAAATGCAATACAACGTGTGTCCTATCTTAAACCATTTAGCATCTTTCGTCTGTCATTAAGTGCTTTTTACAAAAACATACATAACTCCTTAACGGTTTGGGATATAGCGTCAAAATTCAGCAAATATGTTTATCGTTCTGCCCACTACCTTAGTGTAAAACACGAATAAAAGAACGTATTACCGTTTCAAAATGGTGGTTATTTTAGGTTTTCAAAGCTTAATATATTGAAAACTATAAGTTTTGTAAAAATATTACTCCATACAAAAAGTTGCAAAATTGTATTTACTAAAAGATGGTGCAAAGATTGTTAAGATTGGACCATTATCAGCTGAGCAGTTGCTGTTTTTGTAATAAAATATGGAAAACTGGAGACTGTTATCAGAAGTTAAAGTAAACAGCTTATTGGTAAACAAGCTGGTTGGTCAAAATAATCAAAATATTGTAGACTATTTTATATTCAAAACCATTTTCAAGAAGAAAGATGAAATAAGTTGAAGGGTTTGGTATAATAAATTATAAATATCAATTAACAGCTGCTGCTGATCTTAGTCTAGAACAGCTGTTTTGTATTCGATAGCATTAGAAACAGTAGCTATCAGGTACAGTAGAAACAGTAGAAACAGGGGCCATTTTTGAAGTAAACATTACTGGATATTGACGATAGAAATATATATGTTATTAGTTTTAAAGTTTTAATCAGAGTTTTTATAGTTTTCAACAGTTATATAGTTTTGACAGTATTATAGGTTTTTAAAAGTTTAATAGTTTTTAAGAGTCTTATATTTTTTTAAAGTGTTATAGTTAATACATCTTAAGTGTTCTTGTGAAAGTTTTCCTTCCTGTGAAATGAATTGTTTTAGCTGGGCGGAATATACAGATTTCAATTACATGTATGAACTTGCTGATGGAAATGCCAGAGTAGGAAGTAGGGTGTATGCCAAGTGATTTCCCCGCAGAACTCAACCAAATCATCGTGTTTTCTCTGGAGTTTATGGTCGCCTGCAAGGAACAGGGAAAAAGACGCCAAATCAATCCAATGAACCCCTAAGAACAGTTGATTTCCTATGAAATGTTGATTTCATAGGAACAGGAAATTTTGGAACAAGTTGAGAGAAATCCCTCCATGAGTGTATGTTTGATTGCTAACAACGTAGGTGCATCTAAAAGCACAGTTTGGAATATAATTAATCCTTTATCCAATTCTTGAAACTAATTAATATCTATCATGCTCGATAAGTTCTAGAGAAAATAGTTGGCTATTGCCAATTACATATTATTAACTACACCGACCTATAAAGTTAGTGAAGTGGTAAGTAGTGACTTTGGAGGGTGATTCTTTGACGCAAGATGGACAGGTTCGGTTCTAAGCGTATATAGAACAATTTTAGGGGTTCAGACCACCTTCCTTAAAGCCTTCGAGTTTCTTCGATGCAAATCCCCATTGCTGTAGATGCTTGACAATTAACAGAATAGCATACATGATCGCCAACCATATCTCCTAAAACAATCCAAACTATAGCTATTACATCCATTCGTATAGAATGTTTCAAAAACAAACTTTAACTAGCATTCGTGCAGCACACTGGCGTAAACAGAGCGAATTACCACATTAAATTCATGACTTGATGTGGGAAATGAATGGGAGTTTTCCAACAAATCATTTATCATCAAACATGTTTTCTAGCAAATGTGAGACTAATCATACTCAAGCATTACCGTTACATATTCAAAGTATTAAATTTAGTTGTATTTTTAAATTCCAAGAAGACACCGCAACATCCTCGGCTAAAATATCAATTTTCTATAGTACTTAAACAGGGTTAGTAAAAAGTCTGGAGACCCCTTGTTGATTTTTTAACGGCCCATACTAGAAAATCTAAACTCGGCACACCTTTATGGCATACTATGAAGTAGGTTTTGGACATAACCACCACTTGGTGTACATTCCAAAAATGGGGGATGTACACACCTTCATTTCGGGGATGCACACCAAGTGGTGGTTATGCCCAAAATCTACTTCATAACATGCCATAAAGGCGTGCCGAGTTTAGTTTTTCTAGTATGGACCGTTAAAAAATTAACAGGGGGTCTCCAGACTTTTTACTAACCCCGTATATGATACAGTACATTGTCCAATTTGTGAAACATTTTGTATTAAGCTATTTTGTCGGTATTAATTTTAGAGCTACAGCAAGTTATATTACCCATTTTATGGGTGTAACACAATTTCAAATGTTTAAATAAAATAGCTTATTAAATGGAACGGTCAACAATTTTAGATAACTTATCTCTTTTAATAGAGCATTTAAAGAAACGTAAACAATACACAAATAAAAATACAAAATAAACAACTAAAAAACTGGGGGTTTTTGTGAGCACAAAAATAGGCGCATAATTAGTTTGCACCACTTTGAAGTAACTTTCAAAACTTCGTTGTTGGGTTTGAAAATAAAGATTCATCTTGATTCCAATCTGAATTGATTTGAATCTTACTAAAATATTTAAAAATCAACTGGTTGAATCTAACCAACGTTTTATATAACATTTTTATAATCGTGTTTTCGTGAAAAATCAAATACTCTGATTGTTTCCAGTATTTGTTAGGATATTCACACAACCACAAATATACAACGTATAAGCGCTTCTTAAGCATTCCTCCAACGAAACTATTAACAGTCGTTTATATTTGGTGTTTTTAAATATGGATCTAAAACCTTTTATACCTCTTTTAATGGTAAAAGAGGCTACGTCTAACTGTTCTCGTAGTACTGTGTAATGAATAATTATGTTATAGTTATATTAATTCAAATGCGAATAAGTTGCAAATGACCAACTAAGGACAAATCGATGTCCCTTCAGCGTTCACGTTATAAAATATTCATCATTATAATGGCAAAAGGTGTCAATTGTACAAATACCCAGATACACTGTATAGAATAAGTGATTTATCACCGGTGGGATATTTCCCTTTAAGAGGGTTTTACTACTAATACGGGACATATTGGGATAAATGACACTATTATAAGTCTTGGTTTCACCCATGGCACGTTCGGAAGTTGTACAACAATCAAAACTACGCTAATGTTATAAGCAGCTTGATTAAATGTTAACAGTATAGGCGTATTAAAATGATTACAACAATCACATAGTTTATATGAATATGATGGGGATACTTTTTGTAAACTTGAGGGATATTTAATTCCAAGAGGGGGGGGGGGGGGGGGGGGTGGCCTCCTCCTGTGCGGAGGATGGAGTTTGCGCACACGGTTGCAATTACAAAACAAGACTACTTACACCAGTAACATTACATTCTAGCCTGTGTCGAGCATTTCAAAATACGCTGGAACAAAAGATGCAACGAGAAATGTGATTTTATAATGTCAACAGATATATAGTTATGTTTTGGTGTTGGGTTTTATGAATTTCTTTGGTGAAACAGTTTGGTGTTAACGTTCGTAAATAATGCTATAAGCAATGAGTTTATGTTTAACACATTTAATTCAGTTGTACTTTAGGATTTTCGTAAGCGACTTAAAAATATATTGAGTTCTTGAGGTCTCTATAGATGTATTTGTTGTCAGATTATAAAATATACTTTTCTGTGTCGACGTATTACAGGGTTGTATAAACTGCTTTGCATATACATGTTAAATAAGAATAGTAAGTTAAATAAACATCAATTGTCAATGTTAAGCAAGTAAATTTTGTTTCAGTTATACTTTAAAATTTATAGCAATACTAGTTTGTTCCATATTTTACCAAACCATGTGGTGACCTAGTTTAGTGCTATTTAACATTATCAGACACTCAAGTTACTTTTAATAACAGAATAGCTCATTTTATTACTGAACCAAGGTAACAAATTTAAAACCAATCTAATATCAACGTTTACGAATCGTTTTTGCAAAATTAGGCCGACCTAACCTAAAAATCAATAGTGGATTAGTTGGTGACCACTCCGCAAGGAGCGCTAGTGTCGACATCACGTGACCGCGGTATCAGCTGATTATGGCGAGTGTAGAGCCGCGTACACCCCTCTCCCCCATGCCACCCTCGCCCCCAGCTGACTGCCAGGAGTGTAAGAGACATTTCCTCGCTATCGCAGCCGTCGTTGTCTGTCTGGCTGGGTGTCTACTGGTGCTCAAGGTGGACAAGGATATAATCGTCGAGGAGAAGTAAGATAATAAACTGTCGGTACTGTATCCTGTATGTAGTTTGTTGGCATACATAAAAGGTTTTTACCAATTTTGTTTTATCTGAAGTAATATTTCAGCCTTGAATCAAAATTGTTCACTAACTGTTGCATTGGTCTAGGTTGGCCAACAGATTTCCTCCTAGTTTTCCCAGGTATATGAAATTGTTTTTCCTGTGTGGTTGATTCTTGTAGGGGACAAAGGAAATCATTCATCCAAAAAATAAAATAAATAAACAACTGAGTACCGTATACGAACTAATAGAGAACATTATGGGAGTCTTTCTTTAAGTTTCCAATGATATGTGGAGAGGAATGAAATTTACATTCTTTTTTATGTTGTGCGTACCACCAAAGAATGTATGTGAAAATCTATTGCCAGTAGAGAAAGCTTTATCAATTACACTATGAGTTTTTTTATTAACAATAAGCTAAATGTTCAATTAATTGTATATGCTTGTTAAAACAAATTTAGTAATCGTTTGCCGACACCCGGTATTTTAAGTTTGCATAATTCTAGAATTTAATTTAATTGTACAAAATAATAAAGATATATTTTTTTTTTACAAAAGTGAATAATTATAGTTCATTCACATGAACCGGCACTCATAATTACTTAATAATCAAGATACTTGTATACACTGTACAAACAAGGTTACAAGAAATTTGTATATAAATCTTCAATTTGAAAAACACCGTTAGACAATTAACTCGGTACACGCTCCAAAACGCGCTAAATGTAAACTAAAATGTAAAAATGCAGTTGTATATTTTGAAAACGGTGATATTGTGTTGAAGCTAATTGATAATACGCAAAAAAACTATAATTTTAACACAAACACATAATATGTATAATATAAAATATTATTTGGAAAAGTGCACAAACTAAGTTAAACATACAATAAAAGACAAAGTGATACAAACATATCCCTCATTAAAAAAACAAGCAGATACTTTCTGTTAAACATACTACTGAAAATAGCCAATAAGTTATGATAACGATAGTATTGTATCGCACTACAAACCCACTTATTATTTTATTGTTGGATTCTTGAACGTAACCACACTCTTAGTACAATTTGAGTAATTATTCTTATATTGCAAAAGATTATTAACATACAGTTTGTTGCATTTTCACTAACCCAAACTAAGACGGTTTAATAACAGTACACTAAACATAACAACAATTTAAGCTACTCATAATTTATTGGTTTAAAAAATGCCTAGATAAAACCATTGACTATAAAACCCTAGGAACGCCTGCAGTTTTCCAGACGCAAAACAGATGCAGCACTCATATTGCATTTGGGAGATCGCAGGCGCGCCTCACAGTACTGTACTCTTCAGAGCACTTGTAATTCCGACTCATCTTATACTAAGTTTAAAGACGCTCGTACAAATACACTGTAGTTCTATAACTGGGTGGTTATACTGTAGTGCTTAACCTTAAAACATGTTCCCTCCTAGCTGCGCGGGCATCATACAAAATCTAATATTTCTACAGCAATATATAGTGGGAGCTAAAAAATACATTCAAATTAACTCATCTTATGTCGCCTACATCTTGATAATAAATAGCAGATAAATATAAACCTCTAATTGTTATCATTAAACACAGCCCCTCTTCTTTTTCAATCAACGAAGCCAGCCAGCCACAGAGACAATTCATGAGAAGGGATAAGATATGTCTCACTTTGTACAGCTAAGTGTCCAACGCTGAACACAAAACAGTGTGTTTTCATGCAAAATCCTTAAAGGTTTTTATCTTAAAGTGAACAAAGAAAACATAGATTTGCTTAGAATCATATAATTTGATGTATTGCATAGATCTTTTGATGGAAAAACCATATATTTTTGTAGAACATTACATTAAAATTAAAATTACGATTTTATTATTAAAATGAAAATTATACTGTTTATCTTTTTCAGGATAGAACCAGTGGTCGCCACTAAGTTGGTGGGGCTGATTTTGGCTCGGGGAGGCAGTAAAGGACTTGCTCGCAAGAACTTGGCTACCATCAACAACAAGACTCTACTCTCCCGTGCACTGACAGCTATGGCCAACTCAAACTGTAATTCTTTGTGTGTATATGTAATAATTAGGCCTAAAATTGGAATGGTTTAATTAGGAAGGGGCATGTTAACTACCTTGCTGTAATGACACATTCAAATATTTTTCTATTAAGATTAGACTATAAAGTGATTAAAATAGCTTTTTTCAGTAGATCTTTGCAATTTTCCAAGACCCATTAAGATTTATTTTACAAAAAAATCTAATTGGTTTATCTCAATATGTGAGTATCAATGGAATTCACTTTAAGTTTAACCTAATCAGAACGTGAATTAAATAATTAAATTATATATTCTAATTGATTATCAAGGCTGGCTGTTTTGAAATGTTTACGATTGATTTTCAGACATATACATTTGGATTTTTAAATTTAAAATTTTACTTCTTTATTTGTGGCTTTACTATTGACAAGTTATGAAATTATTTATCTTTTTGATAAGTTTTCTAAGCTGTGTAAGTTATCATTTACATATTGCATATTGCATACACGTCCTGGTAAAATTGGTAAAAACAGTGTTTGCAATTTTTATGACTGAAGTTTTCGTAAAAACTCCCCTAAAAAAAACAAAATAATGCTTTGGATCCAATAAAACATTGTTTTGGTTATCTATAAAAATAGGTGTACAAACTAATACATAATGGTTTTGTATCATTCCAAAGGTTTTGATGAGCTATGGGTGTCAACGGAAGACAAGGAAATTGCAGAGGAGGCACTGAAGTACGAGGCCAATGTTCACCAACGACCAGCCTCCGTGGCTGAGGACAACACTTCCTCTATCTTGGCTGTCCAGGAGTTTGTAGAGAGACATCCAGGTCAGACAATACTCTGTAAATTAGATCTTGATAATTCTTGCTCTTCTTGAGTTCATTTCTTCTTTTAATATTAACAACCTGCATCCTAATTATTCTCTCTTCCTTCATTATATGTTATATGGTGCAACCATCTAAGTCCTGCTTCTTCAAATTTTGCTTTTCAATATTTGAGAAAATAATGTTTTATCAACTTTTGAGGTTGAGGTTAGGTTTGCCTTTAGATAATGTTACAAACTTATACTATTAGTTGTAACTTGTACTATTAGTGTATCTTTGAATCATCTGCAACTGATTTTTACCTCAATAATTTTGTGGAACAATTATAGTAAATTTATTCATCCTCATACTTTTATAGGGTCAGATCATGCACATGAACAAATTTTACCACAACGGCGTAATAATCTGCAAATGTTGGTCATATAGATCATGATGCAATGGGCCCGATCAGACTGAGATGGTTTAACTTATCAAAACGTTGCAATTGTCTTTCAGATGTGCGGTTGGTGGGCCTTGTCCAATGCACTTCTCCATTCATCAAAGCCCAATGGCTGCGCGAGGCTTGTCTTATGATGACTTCTCAAGGGTATGACTCAGTATTCTCTGCAGCCCGACAGAAAAACCTGCGTTGGGAGCCTGCGGAAAGTACGTACAAACTTACAAGAAATATAATTGTTGAGGTTTTGGTCACTGGGAGGTTCTTAAGGGTCAGAAAATAGTAAATTATAGTTAAGGTTGAGGAAATAAATGTTTTTTTATGGCTCCATGAATTTTTAGAATTTTTTTATTGATTCAACATTTGTGAAAAACTTACATTTAAAAGCTAAAACACTTTTTTGGAGAATTCTCACTTTATTAAAAGCTATCTGTGTGATGAATAGTTGCGTTTTCATCTCTTGTTAACCTTTGGGTTTGTGTATACATAGGGTTGGAGTTAGAAATCTTGTTGAGTAATTGGAGTTGTTTGTCATGAAGGGTGACATAGAAAGAGAATCTAGAGAGTTCCTTTAGTGCTTGCAAGAAGATTTTCTGCACAATAATATAGTGTCTTAACAAAAACCATCGAATCTGAAGTTGTTAATTTCAAGTACTTGTCTTTTATATGACAAAAGATATTCAATTTTCCAAGACAAATGAGCATTTTAAATTAAGACAAGTAGGCCTAACTATTAATTTCACGGTATCAAGATGTTTAAACTAATGTTAGTTATTCGTAGTTTGTGCTATAGTTTTTGAAATAAAAGTTAATTTTTTCTAAATATGATTTTTAGATGGAACAGTGAAGGAGCTGAACTTCAACACAGGGGAACGACCTCGAAGACAAGAGTGGAATGGGGAGTTGGTAGAAAACGGAATGTTTTACTTTGCAACAACTGAGCTGGTGAATCAAAACAAACTCCAGGGTGGAAGGTAGGTTGCCAAGTAGAGCTAAATGGAATAAAATTACAAGAGTGAAAGGTTTTTGATGAGTTGATACATATGCAAAGTGCTGAACTTTAATCAGGTGAACCGGTGGCTCAGTACGTAGAGTGACGGACTTTGAATTTTGGCCCTATAGCAGCAATGCATTGGGTTCAAGTCCTGGTGCCTGCCACCACATTTGATCAGTACCGTTCAACTCTTTTACTGTGCCAGCTCACTCCTTGCTTTGCTTGATATGTTCAACAATCAGGCCCAAAGCCTATGTGGATGGGCAATTGCAAGGTTAAATGAGGCCGCCGACTACGGGGATATTATCTTTACTGTACACAGTACTGTATATGATGAAAGTATAATATTTTGTTAATATTCTAAACATTAATATTAATTAATACATTTCTTTGTTAGTTACATTGGATTCCTTCCTCTTTGTTGGATTCCTTAGGCAAAACTATGCAATTCACAGACTGCTAAGTTTAAAGGTTATTTTTATGTCCACAGGGTCGGGTATGTAGAGGTCCCCAAAAACTACAGTTTGGAGGTGGACACTCCGTTAGACCTCTTGATGGGAGAAGCCCTCGCTCCAATTTTGGACCCTACACTTGACAACCCAGACTAAATTTTTGGACATCTTGTCTCATAGCTCTGAGGTTTCTAGCAACTGCCTAAGAAGTAAAATATCTTAAATACTATGAGGTTTCATATTTTCAATAGATCTACTTTGAGATTAGAGAGAAATGGACAGATGACATAATAACGTGGGTAGGTATACAACAGACCAGTGTTAGTTTAACTGCTGTGTTAGATATATTTAACTGCATGGACTTTTGTATCTTGAACCACTCATTGGAACAACTGGATAAGAAGAGCACCCTTGTAACAAAAAAAAAAAAAAAAAAAAAAAAAACAGTTGATAACCATACAGACTATCTTTGCCATGTGTCCATACACAGCTAAAAAGTTTTTTACTCTTATGCCTAAAGAGCTTGTTGAAGCTAACGTGTTCTAAAATGAAATGTACAAGATAATTTATGTTTTTTATCTATAGATTGAATGATAATGAAACCTGGTAGGTAGTTGCAACTTCTTATCATTATGAGACATTGATGTTTTTGCGTTTATAAACTTCACAGAAAGCTTTGAAAAGGAAATAATAAATTTGTAATTCATAATTTTTTGCATGTAATGCTTAATTTACAACCTAGAGTAACATATTTGTATTTTAAGAAAAAAAAAATGCTTAGAGTGATAATACCATTCAGAATGGATAATTTAGATTTTTTTAAATTCATAATTTTTAAGAATAGATTTTCTCAAAGCTATAAGCTTAGTAAATGTTTCATTTATCATATTCAATGTCATATTATTGCATTTTTATCACATGTATATCCTTAGTCTCACTAAAGCAATATATTGCTTGCAGCATGGTAGTGACGTCTGAATGAGTGCAAATGCAATGGCTTTTTTAACTAATGATAATCATATCAAATATCAAATAGTTTGGACACATCTTAAATGCTTAACTCCACAGCAATCTACCTGCCCCCGGCCATCAAGCAAACAGCCCTGACAAAGATAACTTTTGTCTTCACTTGTCATTAATTCGCTATCAATAAAACTATATATTTTTTTCAAAATCTACCCTCCTATATTAAAGAATACAGACACAACTAAGTGTGTAGTTTAAATTCATGTGAAGGGTAAGTGTGAGTGAAACAAATGCTTGTTACGGACTAAGATCAGCTACACACCAGACCTGCTGTGTTTAAGTTAGCTGCTTCATTAGTTTGTAGTACCATGATAGGGTTTTAGGCAATACTTTTTTCCATTCCTCCAATAAAAAATAGCATACATTTTTATCAATGATAAGAGTAAATTTAAATTTGCAATAATGTGACACTCAATTGACCTTGTTAATATTTGAAATGTGTTAAAAAAAAATAGTTTTTGGGAAATACATTTTATAATTAGTAAGTATCTTGTTTTTGAATAAATACTATTATTACTGATTACTTAACTTGTATGTTTCTTTCTACTTCCAGTAAATCATTTGCTTTTGTCTTCTGAGCTAACAATTAATTTCTCACATATCTTTATCCACCCAAGAAAAGGAGAACCAAGGCTACTAGATATCTATAGAGATTCACTTCTCCACCTTTCTTCTTCACAAATTAATATTATGGTGAACAATAAAGAAGTGTACACCATTTGTCTTTTCTTATGAATTTTTACTGTATAAGATAAGACCAATAACACAATGTGGTCCTTAAAAAATTAAGTTGACTTGAGACCAATATTCTAGTTTTGATAGCTTGCTAGATTAAGTGCCTTCCCTCAAATTTTTTTGTTGAAATGTAAAATGTCAAACTGTTTCCAAATTGATGAATCGTCTAAGCTGTACAGTAAAGATAAACTAGTTAAATATAGCCAAGAGGACATCAAAACAACATGTGAAATAAATATAATTTATTTTATTTCTTACACATCTAAAGATGTTGTCGTTAGCAAACAAACAAACAAAAATACCATAACACACAAGTAGTCACATTAAACAAATTGACCCATCAAATTTGTTTGTTCAACTTTGATCTAATGTAGGAACGATCTTACTCTTAAACACCTTCTTAACCTGGTTTGCTCAGTCTAATAAGTAAAAAGTAGATTACTGATACTGATGTAGGGTTGAAATTACCGACATCACAATTATAGGAATCTGGAATCTCAATGGTAAAACACCCCTATCAAATTTGGAGGATATCTTTTTTATCGGCTCAACTTAATTACTTTTATCATTTTGTCTACAGCACCATCAGGGCTAGCCTATTACACTCCAAAATTAAAATTGTGTTAACAAATTACAAAACCTAAGAGTTTCATTTTTTAAATTAGGTCTTTTAAATAACAAATGTAGGATATTGTCTCTTGTCTATGACCATAGTTATTTTTCTTGTACTCATTAAAAATTTACGGAGCCTATCAATTTGGCAATTTCCCCAAAACACCACACAAAACGATGCTTGGATTTACCAGATTTAGTTTATAACAAAGAAATACAATTTAACAATACATTAATACTCTTGGTATTTAATATTTACTTATATAACCACAGTTGATGTTGATACTTGGATAAGAAGGGGTTAAGGTAAGGATTAAAAAAATGCATAACACAATCTTAATGAAATTAAAACAAGAAAACACAAAATACAATATAATATCTCTGAAATAAAAAATAAATAACTGAAAACTGGAGAAATTCCAGAAAAAAAATTGCTGACAAAAACCTATACAATTTGTATACAAATAAAAATTAGTAAAAATTGAATACATTTTAAATATAGTTTAGGTGATTTAATATGATAACTACACTGACAGGAGGATTCTAAAGAACCCACAAATGAAACAAAAAAGTCTTAAATCTAATAAAACTAATCAAACAAACTTTGATCTGATGTAAAGGCCTTAACATTTGGTTAGTTTTAAGCAAAGCTTAAAATAATTTCTAAATAAAAACTAAAAAGCAATATTATGAATGGTTAAACTTAATAATTATGAGCTTAACTCCAATTTAAAGAATAATATTTTTAAACTGAGCCATTTTCAAGTAAGTTAACTCTTTTCTACCCTATCTATCATAACTTTTGAGCTGTGCCTATCTACAGTGCTTGTGAGATTTCAAAAATAATACTGACTTTGCCTAGACACTATCACAGTTTTCCGCACCAAACCTTATCTGTTCCATTAAATATTGTTCAAATGTATCTACAGGTGTAATTCTAATCCTAATTTGAGGCTTTTTAGACGTCGCGTCAAGGTAAAGCTAAGTGGACTTATTGGTATTAATTAAAAAAAAAAAAAAATAGGAAGAACACACAAACAAAAGCAGTCGTAAAAAACATAATGTACTAAAACTACCACTCGCAAACAGGTAACAAAGTATTGTAAGTAGAGTTAAAAAACACATAAAGTCAAACGAAGTTTTAACTTTTTAAGTTCAACCAAGTAGAGTTGAAATTTTATTGTTCGGTACCAATCTTGCAAATCTATAGTTTTTTAATAGCAACTTACAACACTCAATGCATTGTGCATTGCTATTTTAATCAAAGGTGTAACATATAAAAAGAAAAAAAAAACATAATATCATTGGCTTTCGTCAATGATAATATATACTCTTATCACAAAGATGAGACTCATGGTCAACTATTAGCAAGAAGTTGCTACCATTTTCTTAGGGCGATTTTCTTTTAATAGGGTGAGAATTACCAAAATAAAAATAATGTTTAACAATGTTTTGAATCTACTTAAACTATAAATTCAATGATTTCTATAATAGGCCTTTAACCGTTTTACACTGGTATTTGTCTAGGACGGATCGTAAAATATGGATGTATTTAACAGTAATTACATACTTCGATAAACATAGAAATTTTTATATGAATTGGTAGTTAAAAAAATATATTACTAGGAAACAATATCAATCTTAAGTGTTACAGTGGACCATATACAAATTAAATATAAAACCAAAACTATCTAAATATACAGTTTTGAATGTAAAACGCCTTATTACTTTAAAATTTTTCTTCATACAGTTATTTTTAACAAATTGAAAAGGCAAACTTCATGTCATAAGAAAAATGAAATTTAATACTTCAAAGGAAGAAAACCATATTTTGCATTTAAGTGAGTTTTTTTCTGTTGCTAACCTAAAATCAGTATGGAAGTTCATACTGTGTTGCTATGGTTTTTTTTCTCAGTACTCTTTAATATTTCTTCAGTTTGAAAATTACATGATTAATACAACTTACAAAACATTATAGCATTCAAGTTTAACTCACTGCTGCATTAAAACTGACAGCTAAACTTCGGTGATAAAATAGGTGGTCCTACCAATTTATTAAGAATAAGATAGATCAAATAATATATGAAGTGATTTTCCTACCAACTAATAATATCAACTCGGACTATTGTCCGTTAATCACAATATTCATTTATAATGATTTGAGACATTGTTGGCAAATCATATTTGCTTTCCTTTATAAGTGTGATTTATATTTTGAAATAATTCTCCCTTACTACTCTAATTATGCCAAAACCTACTTTGCAATCGTAAAATCGATTTCTTGGTCAATGATACAAAAAAATAAAACTGTAATATATCAGGTTTTCAAAGCGATCGCCTTCTTTCAATAAGAATACGTCTATACTCCATTTGACTCTAGCTATTCGTATGTTAAATGCTTTTCTACCTTATTTTAAGGCAATAACTTGACTAGATGTGTCAAATCCTTCACTTCATTGGTAAACAGCTTATTCTGAATCATCTTCGTCTTTCCTTTGTTTGCGCTTTCTCAGTACATTTTGTTCAAATTTTCCTTTCTTTTTGTTCATTAAGTCTTTTTTCTCTTGTTCATAATTTTGTTCATTGTTATGTTCATTTTCACTTTCCTCTTCCTTTTCATCATTGTCCTCTTTTTCATCACCCTCAACCTTTTCATCATCGTCATCCTTTTCATCATCTTCATTTTCTGACTCTTCCTCATTTTCCTCTCCTTCATCACTTTCTTCATCCTCATTCTTTTCTCTAGCAATGATTTTTAACTCTGCAAGTGAAACTGCGTCATAAGAGGACATAGATATTTCAGACGTTGAGTTTTTCCTCGATTCATCAGATTCTGTTTCATCATCAGAGTCTGGTGAATCTTTGATTGCTGGTTTGGAAGGATCGTCTTCACTCTCCTCAGTCCCCAAGGTTTCAGTAGTCGCCAACGTTTCATCAGAGCTGCCAATAAACCGCTGGCAAGTCCATTCGTACAGCTGATGCAGAGCGAGACATACAAAAGCTGCTGTAATTATTGTGGGCAGGTTGTACAGACTGATTGGGCAGTAGATCAGAGTGAGTGTTGCCAACACGAACATGAGGTTGGCCATGTGTTTGTACATTCCTCTGTAAATTTCAGACAGTTTAGATTTTTTAATTGCACTTTAGAATGTTCATTTATCAATCGATGTTTTCTATGACTAATAAACATGCACATGTAATAGGGGGACCACAAATAACGGCTAATTCCTTTCTTTAAGTACCCCTCTTTGTACCTAAATCACTCAAAATGTTCAGAGAAAAAAACCTCCCCAGAAGAATAATCCATCCATCCCTACATAATAAGCAAATATCACTCCAATATTTACCCAGACCAGTTTATAGGTCCTAAATAAATCAGTTTAAAACTGGCCTCTCATGAAAATTTTTAAGGTAAATTCAAACCCTCTTTATAACTCTTAGATACAAATGATCAAAACAATAACTTAAGACATAGTTTGTGCAACTACACAGAATCATATGACTATAAACACTTTATGCAAAGTCTATTGCTCTAAGCTAGTTATTAGTTCATGTCATTTGTCTACGTTCAATTCGAATACAGCCTAAAAAACTTTTTTGGCAGATTAAGCGTAGGGATGACTACACAGTAATTAGTTAGGTAACAAGGCTGCACAGTTTAACAGCCAGGAATACTTTATTTTATGTCATTCAATTTATTTCGGGATTTACCATATTTTTAAATTGCAGAGAAATTACAATACTTGAATGATAAATTATAAGATAATAAGACAATTAGGAAGCTAGTTATTAGTTCATGTCATTTGTCTACGTTCAATTTGAATACAGCCTAAAAAACTTTTTTGGCAGATTAAGCGTAGGGATGACTACACAGTAATTAGTTAGGTAACAAGGCTGCACAGTTTAACAGCCAGGAATACTTTATTTTATGTCATTCAATTTATTTCGGGATTTACCATATTTTTAAATTGCAGAGAAATTACAATACTTAAATGATAAATTATAAGATAATAAGACAATTAGGCTATAGTTTAACCCTAGTTATATTACCAGTTTTAAAAGAAAAAAAAATATGTAAGCCTATCTGCAACATAAAATTGTAACTGCTATTCAACAGCTTCCTTCTGAATAAGCCTTCGTGAGGAGGTAAACAAATAAAGTTTAATATGTTTTTATCTTCTTGAATGGTGTCAACCGACTTAATTTAATTCTCTGTTGGTTGCGTATAACTTTTCTTTATAGGGGTGTCATGGATCTTGGAAATTGGGGTGGCAGACCTACCAGGGATTAAAAAAAGGTGATCCAGGGATTTCCCCCAGACAATTTAAAATAATTAGAGCTAAAATAGCAACACAATTTGTAAGACTTTTTAAAATCTTTAAAATGTTAAATGAACTCTAGATCTCAGCTTACTTTTCACAAAATGTTCAATTTTTTCTGTATCTTTTACTGGTACAACTTATGACTGCAAGTGGTTGCAAACTAAGTCATTCTAGCTTTAAAACTGTCATAAGATCCCAGGAGCGCAATAGGCTGCGTCTGGAAGTTTCCCAATTGTACACACTATGCTCAATTTCATGCACACATCATCTGCATCAATCTTCTAAAAACTAACTTGTCCATCAAACATAGACATAATTAACAATAAAATAGGTACATGAATATGGTAGGCCTACTAATTTTTTTGAAAATCTAGCTGTAGAGGGATAACACCCCTGACTCGTTTATGCTCTTCTTGATAAAAAAATTTCTTCCTCAAGCCAAGAGCTTTTTCTTTCCAAAAAAACTAACTAAGAGTAAAACTGATTAAAGATTTGTGATTCATACAGCTATAAGTACATTGACAAAGTGTGAGATCACAACTCACCCGCTGTTCTCAGAACACACAGGAGTGTCCACAGACCACACTAAGGCTATACAGACACTGGAGACGAGCACAGACAGTGTGGCTGGGTCTGGGTCCAGTACTGGGTTGTATCTACAAAACATCAATTACAATTTTAGGGAAATAAAGTTTTAAAAGTATACTAAAACTGCCTACTTTTGTGGGCATTGTAAGTCTAAAACACTTGTGGGGTACCGATATGTGCATAGCATTTACTGTGACATTGGAGGCCTACCGGTACCTACTACCTAGTGCAAATGTGCTAGGCCTATCAGGTTACTAGAATTGATAAGTGTTTAATTATTTAAGTGTTTAAAAGAATTGATAAAAGGGCGATGACAACATCACAGATCAAGAGGTCAAAACCTATTCCATCTACCTATCTAAGATATAAATGGTAGAAGAGGCTTGACTAAAAAAAGTAGTGAAGTAGTGAGGTAAACTGAACACAATTATGATTGGAAAATACCAATACCGTAACTGAATCCAATTACCGTTTAAGAATTCACAAAAATTCATCCGAAACCACAAAATTGTTACAACTCTGTTACTTGTTACTGCTAATCACTACACATTTACTATATTAAAGTTAGGTTACTTACTTGAAGTTGTGGGCCCACACCAGAACACTAGGAAGGTAGACCATCGTTCCAGTTCCCCACAGTAGAACAAGGGTCAAATGGAAGTTAAACTCTGTCAGGTTCTTTAGCGATAACAGATCTTCTGCCTCCTAGAATAAATAACAATTTAAATTATTGAAATACTAGCATATTTTCCTAACTGTAAATGAAATGAGATCAACAGATAGAAGTAGGAATGGGTCGGTTGTTAATGTTTTGAATTGACATAACAAATCGGTTTATTTTTTTGATTTTTTTATTGTGTCCATCCATGCCAGTGAGTAGCATTTATTAAGGTAGCAATCTAATGTAAGGAAGCAATCTGATGTCAATCTGTTGTTAGAAAGTATCATTAACAGATAGCCCAATGAACACGACATCTGGGTCCAGTAGTGATCTCGCTTAGAGTTGAACCAGCGACCTTCAGATTTGAAGGCAAGTACTATAACCACTCGCTTACCCAGAAAATTATTTACAGTATGGGGTACTGCAGTTGGTTAGGAGCACATTGAATGTTTAAAAGATGTTTGTCTATTACTTTCATAATTTATTACTAGGGTAATGATGGATTGAATTCCCATTAATATTTTATCATGAGAATAATAATTTAATGATGGCTACTAAACTGATATTAATTTAAGCTTGCACTTTTTATGGGAAAAACTAAAAATTAACTGCTGACTGATTCACACTACCAACTGTTAATATTCAACCTTTAACAAATCTGCAGGGTTAGGCCTACTTCAAATAAAATATACTTTTATTTTATGAATATATCATCTTCCAATTGGCAACCACAAGCATTGTTGTTTGAATGTTTTTTTGTATGTGTGTGTCATTGCATTTGTGCACCCTTTGAATACAAGTTTAGGTTTAACTATTGTTAGATAATTTTACTGGTTTATTGGTTTACAGATAAATTATTGATACATTAAATTACATATTTACAATTTTTACAAATTACAAAATTTAAATTAAGACAATAACTAGGAGTTTTATTGATACCATAATTTATTGAGGTTAGGGTATGTTGTCTAAGATAATCTTACTTCAAAGTATAATGGCTACCACATAAAGCACAAGTTACAATCATTTTAAAAATGTATACATTTGCATAAGTAGAGAGAACGTTTGTAAAATAAGTAGTTTAAGGGAAAAAACCAAACAGACAAAAAATTTGGAAAAAAACCTAGCCAAAAATGAACCGAAAAAATCAGCAACAGACCACTAGACAGTATATAATAGAAGCTATAAAAATGAAAGTTTATATGACAGAGAGTATACAAGCATAATATAACTCGACATTTCATCTCCACTCTAATTCACTACTCTATGCCTGCTTGTTGTAAAGAGAGTCTTGAAATAACACTTAGTTAATAGGCTTCAGGAGTAGAAACGACAACAATGAACCATTTAATAAAAGTGTTGTAATCCTCTTTACAGTTGTAGGTATCTCTATCAGTAGGCTTCACAGCCCTTGCCAGTAATTTTGTCAATTCTCTCAGGAAATTGTATAGAAATGCAAGGACACTGTTTATGGGCAAATGGATAAACATAAAAATAAAGTAATTTGTTTACAGTAATAATACGTACTCTGATCATGTCGTCCACAATCATGGTTCGAGGCTGGCCTTTCCACCGTGCCATTACAGTGTCTTTCAAGTATTTTACCGGTGCAAAGAAAAGCTGCTCTATGTAGTCTTCATACATTCCACATACCTGCAATGATAAAGTTTACAATTCAATAACAGACCAGGAAAATGTGTGATTCATTACCAAAGTTATAGGCATTTTTAGAACTTTTATTAAAAAAATTAACTATTTATTACAAAAAAAATTAATTTTCCAACCCTTCAACATGAGAATTTTTAAAACTATTTAATTAGTATTTATACATACTTTTTACATTGTATCCTATGTATCCATTACTCTACTAAACATCAAAAATCTAATTGCATATGAGGTGCTAGTTGGCAACATTTGACTAACTATTTAAGCACTAGTACTAGCAGTATGGCTTCTGGTACTTCGCCAAGAAATGCTGTGACAAGTTACACTGAAAAACTGTCTTGAAGAGTTAAACAAAAGTTTTTCTTTCATAAATTAACTAAATATTTAAAAGGAAGCTACTCACCCTCATAAAATAGTATATTGTCCCGATGACCATTGCAAGTCCTCCGCACGAGGTCAGAAGGATTGCCACCATCGCGACACTAACTACACAAGGTACTTTGTCAACAGCAGCCATTAACCAATCCGTCCAGGTCCTACTGACCCCTGCCAACTTGCCAACAAACCTGCAACATAGGAGCTCACTGAGTATTCCTAAAATTACACATAACAAATAATTGTTGATTCTGTAATACTTTATTATGAAATGGCGTGGCGACCATACAAATGTAGCTATTTTTAAGTATGAATGGCTCGATTTTGTAGTCTTGTTAGTGACTAAGGCCGACACGTTCCTTAGACACAGCTGTTAGTTAATAATAGCCAATGACAGCTAAAGAACCTACAGTTTATAGTGGAATCCGAACCACATTTTTGCCTTATATTTAACAAATTGGTCTAATTAACAGGATAGCTCTGAGGATTGTCATAGTACTCTCTGGTGCCGACATTAATCCACACCAGGGAGTATCGCATCCACAGTGTATGCCTATAAATATCCAAAATTCATGACCTCCTATCAGCTGGATAACAGGACGACGCCACTGTCCCAGTCAACAGTTTGCCCAAGAGATCTGGTCAGTTCTGACATTTATACGTTAGAGATGTGTGGATACCAAAATTGATCAATCCTGGATACTGATAAACATAACTGAAAAATCTATTTTCAATACCAATAACATTTTTTTTTTATTTTGCCAAAAATCCAACGTGGATTGGCTTTACAACACCAATCCTCAGTTGGTCTTTACGTCTCTACACCGAGTAATTTTGGAGCAGTGGGGGTTTTTGAAGTAGGCTAAAAAAAAAACGAAAGCAGCATTGAAAAATTTGAACTAGCCCATTCAAACTTAACCCTTAGCGCCGCGGACTCAGAGTCCGAACCATTGATGAACCGCGCCAAAATAAGTGAATCCGCGAGCAAATGACATGACGTGTTATCTACCTTCCCCCACTACCTTTCCAAGGACAATGGCAGCGTTTTGACTGTCTTAAGGCGATGACACACTATCGATCTTTTCCCCGATCAAGACCCCGAACCAAGCAGGGAGAAGGGAGAGGGGAGGTAAATATCAGCAAAATTTGAAATTTCAATCCGAACAAGACCAAGACCAGGCGAGTTCTACCGAGCGCGGCAAAGCGCGGAGGCAGTAATAATATAGCAGTAATAAAACATGAAATAACATGTTACAGAATGATAATTTTAATTGTCTTCAATAATATTAATGTTTATATCAATTTTGAAAGAATTTAAGATGAATTAAATCATTAGAATCTATATAAATTACTTAAGTCAAGTCTAACATTATTGATATCATTGATTTAACAGTTTCAGCTTGTAAAATATATTTTCAACCTTGACCAAACAAACCACTTAAATACCCATAATATATAACAGTAACAGCAAAATATTGCCCAACATTTATTTATTTTACCAATTAAAAAGTTTAATTGCCGAATTAGAACTATCAACGCTAGCGCAGGCGGCCACTCGGTGCGCTTCACTCCCTACATCAGATTGATCTTTTCTTTAATCTTTCCCTAAAAAACTGCCTTCAGAGCGCTTGTCTCCCTGCTCGGCCTGATGTCTGGTAGTGCCTAGCATCGTAGGACAAAAACAATGGTCAAAGAAACATTATCGTCTACCCTGATTTAAGTAAAACCCTGAATATCACTCCTAGTCCTGTACACATTATTATTTTCAACCCCAATCAGGGCAAAATTCTGAATATCTCCGGTCTTGTATACATAATTGAATCTTGCGGTCTTGTATACATCATTGTCTCCTATCATTGCGCAAAATTCTGATCCCAGTGTGGCGGGTTGGGTTGTTGGCAGCTTGTGTGAATGGACATTTTAGGATTAGTAATTTAATTTCATCATGTTTATATTATGGTACTTTAGATTATTTAATTGTATTTATAAAGTGGATAGTTTTATTTATGTTTTGGAGGTTAAGTGGTAGAGAGGACTTCATTTTATTTCATTTAATTTTATTACATTTAATTTTATTACATCCCATCCCACAATTGTGTAGACATCATCATCATTTCCCTCGTCATGACAAAATCCTGATTATTCCCACTATAACGGAAACATCACCATTGTATCCCATGACAGCAAAATTCTGAGTTGGCCTATCTGCTGTGGTCGTGTGGAAATCATCGTTGTCATCAGCAATTATTGGATCGCCCGATCTTCAAAGTCATGCAGGGTAACAGTATCAGCACCGATTCATGATGATCGATCTCAATATAAACCAAGTATATCCAAGAATCTGTGGTTTCGAGAATCAACACATACATATTTGAATTAGAGGTGTGTACGAGTAAGTTTAACCTTGGTGTTATTCTAGCAATCGCAGAAAGCATCTGCCAAGATTGGCAATTGAAAATTGATGTCACTATTGCAGCAGGTTCATGATTTTGACTCTATCGCAGGAGAAGACGATGATGTCTCTGTTACTATGAAGAATTTTGATGATTCCACCAGGTTTGGAGGAGACCATTACAATTTTGCCATGACTGTGGAAGTTTTTCCTGTGACTAAGGAAGACGTTAACATTTTACCTTGACCTCAAAAAATATTTTGCTTCTTCCAAGACTGCAGAATATGTTCAAGATTTTGCCCCCATTGCTAGAGACCAAAGCATCCACATTTTGGTTCGAGACCCTTAATGCCAGTTATAGCACCACTCAAAAATACCTGTAAGGTAATAACTGTTGGTCAACAGGTAACAACTGTTTCATGCGATTATTATAAACAACAGGTTGTACTTACTTTAGGGCAAACTTATTGATGGTGGATCCGCTACAGACGACGCCCGCGTAGGCCAACAGGCCCACCAGGAAGGTGATGGAGAAGGCCACAGCATACAGAACCAAAGGAAGAAGCATGAAGTCCAGTCCAGACTGCTGCAGGGTTGTGAGATCTGCAGAGGGCAGAAGTGACTTCAGAGGCTCAGGCACACTGAAACAAACCCCTTTACTCTCACCAGTTTGTAGTAATTGGATTATTCATTTATAAACTTTACAGGAAACAATATCTAAAACAAATGACTAAAAGCATTCTATGATAGGTAAATATCATGTTTAGAAAGAAATTGTGAAATTTATGTTTTGAAGGTCAATAATGGGGAAATACAAACTTTCACGGCCGTAAACTCCGTTCCCATTGTCCTATCATGCAGTTTGCGAACTCGTTAGAATGAATGTATAAACACGTTTGTATAAATTTTAATCAAAATCAGATGATTTTTGCTCGGGTTTTCATGCAAACATATACACAGATATGGATTTGAATGCATGGCGTTTTTGGCATCTGAGGTCATCCTAACAAAAAAGTAAAGCGGTAATGGTAGCTACTAGGTCTCACCATGAGACCTGAAGTAATAGTTTATTCACTATATTGGAAATTTGTTACCACCAACTTTGATCCAAATATGCTCAGCAGAGTGTATGATACTGTAAACTCACCTCACAATATTCATTTTAGGCTAGGCCTATTCTATAAATGTTTAAAGTTAATAAGTTAACAAAGATATACTAATTACAAAAGGTGTTTTATTGAAACAAATAAACAAACATGTAATGAAATTTAAAAGGCTTAGTTAAGTTACGTTATAACGAAAGGACTGACAATGGAGTGTGGGGGCTGAAATTAAAATAAAATAGAAGATACCTTTGAAATAACGGTTCAAATAATTTAGATGTGCTATATATATCAGGGTAGGGTGTCGTGCTGGCTAATTGAATGCTAAGAATTAATAAATTAAATAGTATCCAAATAATTATGGTGTTAAACTTAAAAAATCCCAACAACGAAAGATCAAATTTTGAGGTTGTCCAAAGGTAAGTCCAATGTGCACTGAATTTAAAAGAGTTTAAAAGAAAAGTTTATACTTAATTTTGAAAATAATGTTGGTGTTAGTCTTCTTGAGGTTGAGGTTGACTATAATATAACTTGAATATAAACTGGTTTTTCTTGATGATATTAATTAATTTAGTTTAGATAAAATCTGGACTCCTTCTTTTAACAGTTTCAACTTTCAACTATGGCTTCCCTTCTCCTCAATCTCAATATTCACATAGGCCTATTGTTGAACACATGGATCACTGTTTCACTGCTTCTTGAATTTTGAAAGGACTAATTTTGAAATTATATTATAAGCATCTCTTTTTTATTTTTTAATTTTTTTTTTAAGTCAAACGGAAAGCGGTACAAACCCATTAAAGTTTCTTTTTCTTACGTAGTTAAACATAATACATAGTTCTTACATATAAGTTAAAGTCTCTTACATAGGCTATTTAATAAATAACTAAGTTGTGGGCTTTTAAAAAAAAAATATATAGGTATGGAATGAATATTATTAATGATTGAGCGAAGCTCTTATACATCGACTTTTATGCATTTCGTAATACGCAAACTCCTCCTAGACGGCTGAATCAATCGTTTTCAAATTTTGGATGGTGATAAAGACCATATCGGTGAGTGCCAACATCTATATGGCGTTAAAAATAACTCTCAGGAATCCGCCCCACTGGGTCTCAAAGTTTCAATGTAATCCTTATGGAAGCAGTATTTGACACATAAACAAAGACATATGATCAGCTGTTGACTTTTGAATGCAGTAGATAAAGAAATAGCTGATAGCATTATTCCACAGATATTAGAACAGAAACGGTATGAATCATATATAATCAAATGACGACACTAGCTTGAGGTCCGTGACGTAGGAAATGCTAAAGGTGAGCAGTCTGGAGTGTGAAAACTGTTTATGACAATTAGATTTAGGTATCTGCATTCCTAAAATTCTATGGGAAGGGAGGAAAAGGGGTCCGCGATGTAGGAAGTGGTGAAGGAAGTACTAAAGGTGAGCAGTCTGGAGTGTGGAAACTGTTTATGACGATTAGATTTAGGTATCTGCATTCCAAAAATCATAAGGGAAGGGAGGAAAACAGGTCCGCGACGTAGGAAGTGATGAAGGTAGTAGTCAAGGCGAGCTGTCCGGAGTGTGGGAACTGCTTATGGCAATTATATTAAGGTATTTGCAATCCTATGATGCTATGGGAAGGGAGGGAAGCAGGTCTGCGACGTAGGAAGTGGTGAAGGAAGTAGTAAAGGCGAGCAGTCCGGAGTGTGGGAACTGTTTATGACGTTTAGATTAAAGTACCTGCAATCATAAAATGCTATGGGAAGGGAGGAAAACGGGTCCGCGACGTAGGAAGTGATGAAGGAAGTAGTCAAGGCGAGAGCTGTCCGGATTGTGGGAACTTTTTATGACTATTATATTAAGAAATTTGCAATCATAAAATGCTATGGAAAGGGAAGGAAACAGGTCCGTGGCGTTGGAAGTGGCAAAGGAAGTAGTAAAGGCTAGCGGTCCGGAGTATGGGAACTGTTTATGACTATTAGATTAAGGTATCTGCAATCATAAAATGCTATGGGAAGGGAGGTAAACAGGTCCGTGACGTAGGAAGTGGTGAAGGAAGTAGTAAATGCGAGCAGTCCGGAGTGTGGTAACAGTTTATGAGCATTAGATTAAGGTATTTGCAATCCTATGATGCTATGGGAAGGGAGGGAAACAGGTCCGCGACGTAGGAAGTGGCGAAGGAAGTAGTAAAGGCAAGCAGTCCGGAGTGTGGGAACTGTTTATGACGATTAGATTAAGGTATCTGCAATCATAAAATGCTATTGGAAGGGAGGAAAACGAGTCCACGATGTAGGAAGTGGTGAAGGTAGTAGTCAAGGCGAGCTGTCCGGAGTGTGGGAACTGCTTATGGCAATTATATTAAGGTATTTGCAATCCTATGATGCTATGGGAAGGGAGGGAAACAGGTCTGCGACGTAGGAAGTGGTGAAGGAAGTAGTAAAGGCGAGCAGTCCGGAGTGTGGGAACTGTTTATGACGTTTAGATTAAAGTACCTGCAATCATAAAATGCTATGGGAAGGGAGGAAAACGGGTCCGCGACGTAGGAAGTGATGAAGGAAGTAGTCAATGCGAGAGCTGTCCGGATTGTGGGAACTTTTTATGACTATTATATTAAGAAATTTGCAATCATAAAATGCTATGGAAAGGGAAGGAAACAGGTCCGTGGCGTTGGAAGTGGCAAAGGAAGTAGTAAAGGCTAGCGGTCCGGAGTATGGGAACTGTTTATGACTATTAGATTAAGGTATCTGCAATCATAAAATGCTATGGGAAGGGAGGTAAACAGGTCCGTGACGTAGGAAGTGGTGAAGGAAGTAGTAAATGCGAGCAGTCCGGAGTGTGGTAACAGTTTATGAGCATTAGATTAAGGTATTTGCAATCCTATGATGCTATGGGAAGGGAGGGAAACAGGTCCGCGACGTAGGAAGTGGCGAAGGAAGTAGTAAAGGCAAGCAGTCCGGAGTGTGGGAACTGTTTATGACGATTAGATTAAGGTATCTGCAATCATAAATGCTATTGGAAGGGAGGAAAACGAGTCCACGATGTAGGAAGTGGTGAAGGAAGTAGTCAAGGGAAGCTGTCCGGAGTGTGGGAACTGTTTATGACGATTAGATCAAGTTATCTGCAATCCTAAAATGCTATGGAAAGGGAGGTAAACATTTCCGTGACGTAGGAAGTGGTGAAGGAAGTAGTAAATGCGAGCAGTCTGGAATGTGGGAACTGTTTATGACAATTAGATTAAGGTATCTGCAATCATACAAATGCTATAGGAAGGGAGGAAAACGGGTCCGCAACGTAGGAAGTGATGAAGGAAGTAGTCAAGGCGAGCTGTTCGGAGTGTGGGGACTGTTTATGACGATTAGATTAAGGTATCTGCAATCACAAAATGCTATGAAAAGGGAGGGAAACAGGTCGGTGGCGTAGGAAGTGGTGAAGGAAGTAGTAAAAGCGAGCAGTCCGGAGTGTTGGAACTGCTTATGACGATTAGATTAAGGTATCTGCAATCCTATGATGCTATGGGAGGGGAGGGAAACAGGTCCACGATGTAGGAAGTGGTGAAGGAAGTAGTCAAGGCAAGCTGTCCGGAGTGTGGGAACTGTTTATGACGATTAGATTAAGGTATCTACAATCTTAAAATTCTATGGGAAGAGAGGGAAACAGGTCCGCGACGTAAGAAGAGGTGAAGGAATTAGTCAAGGCGAGCTGTCCGGAGTGTGGGAACTGTTTACGACGATTAGATTAAGGTATCTGCAATCATAAAACGCTGTGGGAAGGGAGGAAAACAGGTCCACGATGTAGGAAGTGGTGAAGGAAGTAGTCAAGGCAAGCTGTCCGGAGTGTGGGAACTGTTTATGACGATTAGATTAAGGTATCTACAATCTTAAAATTCTATGGGAAGAGAGGGAAACAGGTCCGCGACGTAAGAAGAGGTGAAGGAAGTAGTAAGGTGAGCAGTGTGGAGTGTGGGAACTGGAAACCGTTTGTAGCAGTTAGATTAATGTATCTGCAATGCTGAAATGCTAGGAGAAAGGATGGAAGCATCCCCACGACATAGAAAATGGTGAAAGAAGTAGTAAAAGCTAGCAGTGCGGAGTGTGGGGAATGTTTGTGGCAATTCGATTAACGTATCTAAAATACTTAATTGCTATGGAAAGTGATGAAAACAGGTCCACGATGTAGGAAATTGCTTAGAAAGTAGTAAAGTATGAGCATAGTGTGAAAACCGTCTGTGACAGTTAGATTGATGTATCTTTAATCCAAAAATGCCATGAGAAGGGAAGGAAACAAGAGTCTATGACGTAGGAAATTGTGAAGGAAGTAGTAAGGCTTGCAGTGTAGAGTGTGGGAACTGTCTTTGGCAATTACATTAATGTATCTGCAATCCTAAAATGCTATGGGAAGAGAGGGAAATAGGTCCACGACGTAGGGGGTGGTGAAGGATGTAGTAAAGGTGAGCGTGTTGAGTGTGGGAATGGATAAATGTATCTGCTATGCTAAAACGCTATGGGAAGAGACTGTAGACTGTAGGTTAAAATAATTACGAAGCAGGAATCGATACACATTTCGATACATGTAATAGTTTACAATAGAAATTTACAACTGAGTTGACAACAGCTGATTTTTTCTCCATAGAGGATAAAAACTATTTTTACTTCCTAAAGAGTAAAAATGCTACTTTAGACCCGCAACGCATGTATTAAAAACGACTGGTATTACTGCAGTATGACCAAAACAATATAATATAAACCCTTGATGGCTCCGCTCAATTTTGTGGATGCCTCTGCGAACGCCACCTAGTTAATTTAACAGATTAATGAAATTGTATAAATTAGGAAAATGAATACCAGGCCAGCCTTTTTAAGGAGTGATTAATAACAAAGGTGTATGAACAAAAGTTAACATTTTAAGAAACCTGTTACTAAATAATGAATGAATGAAATGAAATATTACAAATCAAAAGAAGTTATTTTATTATTTTAAATTAGTAAAATCATTGCTAATTTAAATACAACGGAAAGTTGTGGGAATGTAGTAGCCAGAACACTACGGTTAATAGGAAAAATTGACCCAGAACATTTTTTGCTAAATCATAAAAACTTACAGTGCCAGAAGGGTTGAACCTATCTTGACCGCTGGCAGTATGTAGTATGGCTTGGCTCCCTCCAACAGAGCATGATGGAACAACAGACAATGGTTCTGAGTGGACAACACCAGCAGCTGATGTTGTAAGGTCAACAACAAGATGGCCGCCACATAGGCGACAATGTGACTGGAGTACAGACGGACTATCTGGGCCAGAGTGTCTACCAACGAGCTGTCAACACTGCAGAGAAAACCCCTCAGTGAGCATCCATTGGTTAATCGCTTATACTCAAACAGGTTAGGGCCTATCTTTCAGAGTATAACATTTTCTTTCTGATTTATTAATCTTACATAAAAAGTTGATTTAATGTTTGGAATGCATGTCTAAGTAAATGGAATGCTGTTGAGCCTTTAACTAGTAATAATGTTTGTTAATAATGCTTGTTATTTTATGTTACTCCTATAACACACATCTCAAAAATGTGTACATCACTGTTTCTACTGTAGGCTTTGCCATGCCACATTTTTTAGACAACATAGGCTACAGACACAGTATACATAAACATATACAGTAGACTCTCGCTCATACTGATCGGCCTTGTCCAGACTCCCGCTAATCCGGATTGACAGTAGTGATTTTTTTAGTGGCACAGTACAGTAGAAGTCCGATTATCCGAGCTAAATTGGACCGAGACTACCTCAGATGTTCAAAAACTCAGATAACACGGCGGTGAAAAATTATTACCGGTGGAACTGCATTTGCACGGCTATCAATACTGTGGACCTGGAACAAAATTGTAAAAACGGCTGTATACAGTACTATTTTGCTTGACTCTTGATAGTCCGGATTTTTCGTAATCCGGACCGAACATCCGCCACATTAGTCCGGATGAGCGAGAGTCTACTGTATTAGGATGTATATTGTACTGAAAATAAAAATGATACTACATGTAATTCACATGTGCACTGTTATTTATTTCTAAAATCATTGAAATTTTCTAGAGCAATTTGTTTTAAATTATTGAACTTTTTAGGGACTTATGTCCCTACAAGCCATTAGTTTCTTTTATTTGTGTATTCAGTTTATTGCTATTGTCTTGGAAACACTAGTTAATTTGGGGGTTTACTGTATACAGATTTTCAGGCTAGTTGTTTTGTGAAATCAAAATCAATGATTCATAACATGAATCATTCATCTTGTTTGTTCACCGTGACTATTGAAGAGGACCAGATCAATAGCAAGCAGTGAGGCCTAACATTTGTCCAGTCTGTGACAACAAACATTATCGATTGGTCAAACAAATATAGAATGTGGTCTATCACTTACTAGGAGCAAAGCCAAAGTTGTTAAGGTTTAATGGTACCTACAATTTTCAAACACTTTTGACTATTGTCAAACATATCTAATTTCTATCTATTTTGTCTATGTCTAAACGTGACATAAGATGGTCTTTGGACAGTAATATTTTGACATTGATTAGATGAATATTAATTTAAAAGAAACTATATCATAAACTAATCATGGAATAAGGTGTGAATAAAAAATAAACATAAGAATTCCCTAGAAGGAAAGTTTTAGGTAAGACTATTAACAAACTAAGTATCGTGAACTAATTCTTTAGCAAATTTCAGCTATTGCGAGGTACAATACATTTAAACCTGAAAATCTGTATCCAACTGAACGTTATTGAATAAAAGCTTTTTCTTATTTTTCTCTCTAAACCAAAGATTGTATCTAGACCTACCTCAACATTGTAGAAATCTGTACAATAGTGCACAGCTACTGAACAATTAACAAGTACCTAAACCTATACAAACACACATAACAAATTAAAACAAAATAGTAGTAAACACAACTTACCCTATAGAATACTGGCATTGTGGGTCAAGAAACAAAGTTACATAAGGGTCTGCACCAGTCCATTCAGAGGGTCTTGCTGTGTGCAGTACGATTGGTAATATTGCCAGCGGACTGTTCCTGTAAAAGATAACAAAAATGTATAGCTCTGAAAAATTTGGAAAATAAAGAAGAGCCTATGGGGGGTTATTAAATGTGTGCGAGCAGCTAATTTTCTGGGCTGAGCAGAGCCTAGTCTTAAAGCTGGAGTGATGGAACACCAAGTCAGAAAATGGAGACAAGCCAAGCTTTTACTCTAATAATATTATAGATTTCAACTAGGCTTACACAATGTCACCGGGATTGCTGTAAAAATGAGACAATTTTCTGTGACAGCAAGTGATGATCATTTTTTTAAATATGTATAAAACTCCTTTGACTATTCTTCTTCTAATCTATTTGTTGTTTATTTGAATGTGTTTGTTGATTGTCAAATATTAATTCTTTCAAATAACTTTTAGGTACTGTATTAATTTGCAATGCCAATAATTGTTACTCTGAATCATTAAATAGCTTATTCCCTATATGGGAAATTCACTAAAAAAGCACTTTGAAAAACATAATTGTGACACATCAACTTATTAAGAGTCCTTGGAGGTTAGCGTCCATCTTGGATGATTTCAAACAGCCGCTGAAGAAATATTTATCATCCAAAAATATTTTTCAAACATCAAAGTCATTATAATTTAAATCTCTAGTATACTGTGAGATTAGAAATGTTCTTTTTAGTTTTGAATTGTTCTTCAAGAGAGTCCATGGAAGCTAACGGCCATCTTGGATTTGCCGGCTATAAGAGCAATGTCAATTTCGTTAATTTTAAACAGCCCCTGAAGAGTTATTCAGTATTCACCATCCAAAAATATTTTTTTCAAACACCAGAGTGATTGTAATTTAAATATTTAGTATACTGTGGGATCAAAATACTTTGTAGTTCTTTAATTGTTTTATGGGTTAGAATGTCTAGGCTCCAAGGACTCTTAACCCTTTTGTGATCGGAATGAATATTTGCCGCTATTCCACAGCGGTCGTGTGCGGCGCAGAAGTCAGTTTTTCCCACAACAGTTGGCTTTTGTGATCGGACGGCTAGCGGTGCAGGCCAACATGAAATCCAACGAACGCTCTTGCGTCCAGCATGACTGACCGACAACAATGTTTTTGTTTGTAATATTCCAAACTGACTGGTATGATGAATGTTGAATGCTCTAACCTGGTGAGGAATTGTTAAACTAAGCCATCAGCAGGCTAGCAACATTTAATCGTAAAAATTGTGGCGGAAACAACTAAAATACACACCAGCTGACCAGCTTGTTCTGTCAAAAGTGCTGTCATAATCATCATTGTTTTTGTTTTTCGTTCAGTTTTACGTGATTTTAATTGAGTGTTTATTTGTTGTTTTAGCTAAGTTTTAGTGTATATTTGTGGTGATTTTAAGAACACTTGTACGTTTAAGTATCTAGGCCTAAACTTTTATCATAATTAGGCCTACAATAAAACTGTTTTATCTCGTATAAACATTTAGTAGTAAGAATGGGACTATGTTTGTTTTTATTCAATATTTAAGTTATTAATAATGGATGATCGTTTGAGATCAGACAAATTAAGAGACTATTTGCTGACGAAGAAGATGTTGACAATCCTGGTATTTATTATGGATCAGACCACGAAAGCGATGTTAATTGTTTTTGTAAAATTTGTTTAAACAGTAATCCAGGACTTCATATGGGCGAATATTACTTGGAAAAATATTACTGTGAGTAAAAATCAAAGAAGATTTAGAAGATTCAGCTTGTTTGTATGAGTGACAAATACTCGTACATTTTACACGTTTAGTAAATAGGTACATAAATTGTATCACTTTTTATTATCATATCAAACAAATGTATGTTAATATTCAATGTCTTATTTGTTATTTAAATAAAATAAAACTTTTGTCAGTATACAATTACAATTGTTTTATTACAATAAATCTCCTGTGCTAACATTGCAGGCTTTCAGTGAAAATAATTCTGAGCTGCCAGGAGCGAGCCGCCATGATAAATGCCGAGGGGGCAAATGCCTTGAACTTGGCCAGTACTGCTGGCCGTCCGACCGTCAAAACAGGGTTAGTATGGATAGAATTCCGACTCGCTGCCACTCCTGCTGGCCTTCCGATCGCAAAGGGTTAAAGGACATTACATTACAAAAGCTCATCTATAAAAATAATTGTGGCTTAAAATACAGGGAAAAATACTTGGCTTCATCAAAAGTCTCAGGGTCACACACTTCTAGCTAATCATCAAAAGTTAGTATCATTCCTAGAAGAGATACTGTAATTACAGCTTACTTCAAAACAACGCTGTAGTGCTGATGACTCCATGGTATTCTGAGTGTAGCCACTGCTTGGTGACTCAGGTTGGTAGCACTGGAGCAGCTGAGGACAGAGATTGACAGTTGGTAAGCCTGCCACGGCCGCTCCAGCTGAGGCAGCTCCAGGACGTAAAACACTGCCTCCTTGGTTGTCTCTGCAATCACCGTCGTCTGCAGAGGAGCGAACCACTTGGGAAGGCTAACTGACATGGTTCGCTCTCTGGTAGAAAATACATCGTAGCTAACTGATGTCTGAAAAAGATTATTAATATTTGTAGATGGTAACTGGGTGGTAGATTGGTTTGGTAATGTTATAACCTACACAATTCTAAGACTGCTCTGAAACATGCGCGTTTAAAGCTACTCAGTCACTAAATATTTGTAGGATTGGCTCATCAAACTTTAGTCTGCACGTTTTGGATTAGCCAAGGCAAGGCAAGATTTTAAAGTTGAATGTCCTCTGTTTGTTTTCCAGAATGATTTTTTTTGTTGATTTTATCCATTTAAACAAAAAAATTACAAGTAGGATAATACAAGTTCTCTTCATTTCATTTCATTTTATTAAACGGCAAACACCATTTTACAAGTGGGTTTAACAAGATAATTAATATTCAAGAAGTGATCAATCAATATTCAAGATAATCAATAACAAAGAACACAATTAATTGAAAGAAGTACATCATTAAAAACTACACAAAAAAATATTATATCTTTGTCAGTGTATCTCCGCATTAACCTTGTTTGGATGAGTGATCTCTGAGGCAAAATATAAAAATGATAAGGCGAAAATAGGCGAGTATAGTACATGAGATAGTAGTACTGTAATGTTTGTGATAAAAAACTGGCCGTTTAACTTTACAGACCAAATTTCCATGAAGCATGGCAATAAACCGCAATGGAGCATTCTGTATATACTTATAATTGTAGCCATTAAGATCAACAATGTGTTACTAAAACATATAAATTGTGTACATGTTCAGGCTAACTGTAGTGTATACAATATACCATAATGTTATCATTGTTGCGATATATTTATTTGTGTTATAAAAGAGTTGGCAATGTGTTTTGCATTTGTGGCCTGACTACGATCAGGCGACTTTGACGTATACGTGAATGTCACACACACGTGTGTGTGTTATTTGGAACTTTGACGTGTATGTCATATGTACGAGTGTGTACATATGATTTCAATAAACAGGGTGTCCACAGAAAATTTGTCATTAATTTCCATGACTTTCCATGACTATCCATGACCATTTACCATCAATTTCCATGACTCACGAACTTTACTCAAATTATAATATAACAAACACACACAAATAAAACTGCCTAGATTTTGCAGAAACTACTGAAATATGTATTAACAGACAACAATGGAGTACAATGGTACAACAATGAACTAATACAAACTCAAAAATCATAAAATAATACAACTGTAATAAATTGAATTGTCGAAAATTTTTGAAAAATCCTGAAAAATGCTACAGTAGGTAGTCGGAGTTACGGCGGACTAGAGCATTGAATAGTTCCCATCATGGGGAATTTCCATGACTTTCCATGACCTTTTGCCTATTTCCATGACTTTCAATGACCAGAATTGTTTTCCATGACTTTCCATGACTATCCCTGACTTTCCAGAATGTGGACACCCTGAATAAAGCTCCCAGATTGGCTACAGCTACAACCCATCACTCCACTTTTCCCTCCACGTTTAACCGCCGATCCAAAAATTTCCTTGCTCTCCAGTTCTCAAGATTCCAGTAAACCGTAAACATGTAGTCGGCCGGGTTTTATTTCACTCCCAAATTCCAAATTCCGTTCCACTAACGAAACCCTTAAATAATGTAACACTGTATGTGTAGGTACTCTTTTGGATAGGACTTTGTGCAAATAAGGTACAATCCTTATTGTAACTTCATTTATTACTTTTCAGCTATACAGGGAGTTTTTTTTATAAAACACAACCTAAATTACAACTAGGCTATTATGCAACTAAATTACGAGTAGGACTCATTGCTTTTTTGCTCTGCAAGAAACAAAAGACGCTCATAAGCTGGCAGCCTTGCTTCCTTTACTTCATAAACGATGAGCTGATATTTATTTTTGCATGCTTAGTGTTATAAAAAAAAGGAATTTATTGTACATAAAACCCAACATTGTGTTTTCGCAAGGAAAAAGAATACATTTGTTTTATTTGAGAAAAATTAAATACTACATTTTCCATAAATGTGCATTAATCAATCTTTAATATGTGTTGTGTTTAACGGAAAACAAATGTAGATATTGACAGCCCCCCAAAACCACAAAATGGTCTGCATTTGGTCTGCATTTGAATGCAGGTGTAGGGACAATGTTAGGTGAGTCGGTGGCTCAGTCGGTAGCGTCGCGGACTTCGGGCCCAAGGCAGCAGTGTCGTGGGTTCGGATCCTGGTCACTGCCACTAACTTTTATCAGTACAGTTTACCTTTGTACTGTACCGGCTCGGGCAAATGCAAGGTTAAAAGAGGCCGCCAACCTCTTTAAAAAAAAAAAAAAAAAAAAAAAAAGATCCTTTGAACTTCCAACAGCAGTAAAACATGTAGACAACAATGCGTCAACTGATCGATAATGGATTTAAGAAAGCAGAGCTGCCAAATCATAAGCTTCTTTTGTCCCTAAACGTAAAAAAAGACTCTACTATGCAGTTGTAAAAAAACACCCGTAGGCTTATATGATAAAGGCTAAGCATACTTTTATTTGCATTACATAAATTAAACAAAACGACAACTATATACAACCCTTACAGTCATTTATGAGTGAAGCTAGCATGCAGGCCTACCGGCTCGTCTGATGCGGGTAGCCGGATGACCACATAGTTCTGACCTCGCACCCTCAAGTCTTGGAGGCTCACTAGCGCCACCTTGTGTTTGCGATGTTTGGTCGGGGCAATACGTCCCAGGCTTGACAGATTCTCTCCAACAGCACTGTAAAATTAAATTAAAATCATTCACACTTTATATTTATTTATTTATTTTTTTTTTTTTGTTGAATAACTGATAAGTGTCTGTAAATCTAAGGGGGAAAGAAGAAAACATAATACTGATGGAAAGATATGATACAAAGTAATCTAACCCTGCTTTGCTAAGGTACTAAAATCAATCTAAGAGTAAAAATTTTATTGATCTGTATCTGTATAGGTTGAGGTTGGGTGGTAAGACTCAAGAAACGTTATCTACAGAACCAATGCTGTTTAGATGGAAGGTCAACACAAAAGGTAAGATTTTTAACAAAGTTCAGAAAAGACAGGAAAGGTTTTAGCACGAGAACAAATTGATAAAAGCCCCACTGCCTCTCATCACCATGTAGCATTTGTTATTGAGATGACCAAATCAGAGTGAAGGATTCAATTTTCTTTTGTTTGTTGCAGATTGTCTGCTGAGTAGGCCTATCTAGACCTTAACTTAGATCAGTACAATACAATAGGGCATAGGGCCTACTGATATTTATAGGATATTTATATTCAAAATTTAATTCTATGAAGATGAAGCCTACTTACTTCAAATGAGCTAGGCCTACATTTTTCATAAGATTTATCTACAGTAGTTTAAGATTACCTATCTGTTTTCTGTCCCAGACATAATATTCTGGATTAAACTAGGTTTTATTTTGGTTATGAAAGAGGATACAAACAAGCCGTTATTATCTCGCGATAAAAGAGAATGGGCTCTTTCTAGCACTGGAGATAAAAAGGGTGTCCTGACAATGGTTATTTGCTCACCAAGATCTGCGGCCGCCGTCAGCACTGCTCAGATGACTACATGTGAACAGCCAGTCCCTAGCCTTGTGTCCTGACACTGTCACCGCCAACATGTCCTGTATGGAGGGTAGATGCAGCAGGATGTGTGATGGTACAGGCAGGTACGAGCGACTGTCGTGCCACCGCGGACGAGACAGCTCGTACCACTCTGTCCGTTGTGTCTGCAGTGTTACTTGGGCTGGGTGGATAGAGTCGTGGAATCTCTTGCCTGCCGACCGCTGTCAAACATAGAAAAATATAGTAACTTTCACAGTATCAAAATATGCAGAATTGTATCCAGAATAAAATGTCTAAATATCTTGCACAGTGGACTTGGACTCCCCATATTTCAAATCTGTTTGGTTCAGATGGAATCCTGTGTTCAAATTTTAATCAATTAAAAGTGGTAATTGTACTAGCCTTCAAATTTGAAGGTCGCTGGTTCAGTCCTAGACTGGATTAATTCAGGACCTAGATGTTTTTTTGTAATTGTGCTATTAATTAATGATGAGCATCTAACAAAAGGAAAAGAATGTTAGGTAGTAACAAGAACGGTGTCCATAGCTAAAAGTGTAAAAACTGCCAACGACAGGGCACACTAGCACTGTATTGCTCGAAGCTACATAAATTAATGTTATTTTGATCTTACCTCCAACAAGTGGTACTTGAAGACGTCAACTCGGTGCTGGTGATCCCGGGATATCTGCAGTGTTTGCAGATCCACACAGTCAAACAACGACCTCACCAGCACCAGTACCAGCTGTTTGCACCACAGAATACACAAGTGATCCACTGACATCCACACCTCTGACACAGCTGTTGTCTGAAAACATAAGTTCAAGTTTTGAAAACTGTGTGAGTTCCCAGCTCTGAAATGTTTATACAGTCAAGGCAACTCACATAAAACTTATTACTAGAATATCTATTCAAGATGATAAAATTTTTGAATTTTCAAAATTTACAAACAAATATGCATATACAACATTTAAGTGCTTCGGTTAGCACTAGGCCTATGAGAACTGGTGTTGGTGAAGCAAGAAACCACACCAATATTCAACTTCTAGGTCTGCAGAGCAGTTTCAATCAATTAAAATTTACAAACCCAGTGTTATTTATTTGTAACTGAGGGTGATCTGTTTGACGATACTTTAGAAGAAAAAGATGTGAACCAGCTAAACTTATGTGTTTGTTATTTAAAAATCACGACAATCTATGGTGAAGTGACTACACAACTTTCAACTCCTACAACTTTCTTCAAAGGTGACCAATGTAAATTTTCAACTTTTAACTTGCTACATCTCACCAAGGCACTGATATCTGCGTGGTCGGTTAGTGTCAATCCTGATCTGACAACAAGGTCTTTCACTCCTCCTCCCAGAGAAATTACAGTTACGTTGTTACTTCTGAAACACATTGAACAATCAATATCATTGCAGCAGAAGCAGATACATATATTTTTTTAGCAATATTACAAAAAAATACAACAAATTTTAGTGAGAAGCAAATACTAACAGTAACAAATTTGAGAAAGCTTAAGATAAGACAGAATAAGCCAGAATATGAGAGTTCACGTTGTTTGCAGTGAACATTTATGCTTTAATTCATTGCTCTTATGGCTATGTGCATGGGCATAGGCTCATTAAAATACAGTACAAACTATTTAGTCACAATTTACTGTTTGAGGCTGTATTCAAACATCACAGTTAACACTTCAACCCAAGGCACTAGGCAGTATATATGTTTATTACTAACATTGTTTAAGATATCTCAACAGACATGGTGTAGATGTAGTTATCTTTAAATAATTCACAGTCAACATCTCAACTGAAAAAAAGATGTTGAAGTTTACCAAACTTATGACTTTCCTAATAAATTGTATGAGTTGGTGCTTCAATTATGTATCCAAAAATTCCATTTTCCTCTTCAGATAAGCATACCAAATTAAGTTGTCTATAAAAATGAGCTTAAAATTTCCCCCCTGTGATAACATGACTACACACCGTACTTAACCACTTTTCTATGATGAATTTTAAGCACTTGTCACTGTCACTGCCAGACTGTCGTGCCAACAGCCGAAGCAAGTTTCACAGTAGTTCCACTCGTTTGGTGCGAAAACAATGCTAACTGAATTTTTGTTGCCCATCTTGCCCATCTATGACCCAACCTACAACTAAGCTAAGTAAGTTTTTTACCTGATAGCCCAATGTGGAGACACTTTGTCATAGTATTGTTTTAACAAAGGATCAGTCAACAGCACGGGGGAGTGAGGAGTGGCGAGAGTGATCACCAGTCGTATAGCGTGGGATGGAAAATCTGGCTCTAGAAACATCCCCTTCGCTATCATACCTCCCTACAACACACATTCATCAGCATTATACAAATTAATTATAATACTACCACATTACACACACATTATGAGGAACACTTAACAAATACAGTATATAGGTAGGCCTACTTACTTACGGTACATCAATTGCTTAATTAATCCTTTGTTTGAATGAACAGATCACTCTACTTCACTTTCTATACCAAAAATATTAACTCAAAAGGTAAATGAGTATGAATTGTAAAATAAAGTGTTTTTTATATAAAAAATATACTCTAAGTTAAAATTTCATGCAATATTATATAAATGTACCATGGAATGTCCCACAAGAACTATCGACTCCGGCCTCACTTTACGATACAGGGAGAGAATCCTCTGGACTGCGTGGACAGCGAACCTCGTCTGATCCTGGAAGTTTAAACAGTTTTTCATCAATAGTTTCGTCATTAGCCCACTACTATTTTATTATAAAAATTAAAGGAATATGGACAAACAAATAAAAGTGTAAGCTAACTACCAGCACTAATATCATTGCACAAACCATAGAAATAACTCCAAAGAATTAATAATATCTAAATTATTTAAAATAGGGAAAATAGTTATTGAGTGCAATACCTGAAGTACACCACCAAACATGGCTGAGTACTCTTCATTGAGATCGAGAGTGAAGTAGTCAAAATGAAACTGCAAGTCTGAGCCGAGAGACTTCCTGAGGGAAACACTCGCCAACGATCTGACTGCAACACAATATACTAGCCATTAGTGAACAATGTTCATAGACCTTTTGATGATTACGATATCTGTGCTATAAATGAACTAAAAACAGGTATTCATATTTTAAACCTTTTTATTAACTCGCTTTCTTGTCTGTTAGGTACAAATTTTTAAATCGATTTTAAACTAACTTCCTGATGAGCTAGAGATTTGAAACTTGAAATATAGCTCACAAATGGAATGTAATATTAAATCATTTAATTTTTATATTTACCTTGGGCTACGCCCCATGGGCTTAAAAAATTTCAATGTTTGCATTTTGGAAGAATGTAAATAATATATGAATTGGAGTCAGCTGTATATACTTTAATCTGACAGTTTGTTCAAAGAGCAGAGGTTAAGATATACAGGTTCTGCTCCCGAGAGGTTTTAAGTTTTATGATTATGAGAATATTGGCAACGTTCAACATCTGATTACAGTTAAAAGAGTTTTAGTTTGTATAAACAGGCCATATAAAATAGATTTAACATATTTACACATTAAAAACTAAAAAGTATAAAATAATTTATAAATAAAAAATCTTTTAAATTAGCACTTTTTTAAACGCACTAAAAAATTGAAAATTATTTATAAATATGTGGAGAGAATAAACTTGTAAGATTTAAAATGAAAAACGTGGGGCGCATGCAATAGATAATAAATTCAATAGGTTGAGATAATCGTTAATTAGCTATTGCATGCGCCTCACATTTTTATTTTGGAAAGCATTTATGGATTTTAAATGTGTTTCAATTTGTTTAGGTTAGGCCGGTTTTGAATTCTTACTTTAAATATAATAACACAAATTTTGCAGTTACCCTACATGGTGCAGTTTGGTCCGGGATGCGATCTTTACCTATGTGCTTTGTAAATGTTGGACAACTAGTTCCTGGGCTATCGTGAATGGAGGCCTATTACAGTAAGTTAGTGAGGGGAAATTTGTCCTATATCACCAAAATATTTTGCAACCAACCATTGGCCGGTAGGGAACTGATTGTCAGCTAGCACCAGTCTGAAATATCTAAAAATTATATTTTAATGGTCAATGCATGCGTTAAGAGTAGGACAAAGTCAAACCTTGTTTGAGAGATCCGCCCTGTCCGGGTATAAATAGGACGGGTATTCCCGAGAACTGCATGTTGCGCACTTGTTGCGTCTGTCGACCTTCGCTGTAAGCATAGAGTCCATAGCGACGGTACTCTACAGTCACATTTGGTGGCAAGCTAACTTTCTATAAACACACAGTAATATTTTATAGGTAGGCCTATTCGCCTATTTAATAACAGGATTAAACTTAAATCTTCCATACTTAAGCGGTTTTACAATTGAGATGTAGGCCTAAATTAATTTTAAAGCTTATGATATAGCACAAGTGTGGATGGTAACTAAGGTAAAAGATCCTTAGCTACACAAACCATTGATTTTTAAAGACACTTTCAATGATCTAAGTTAGCTTTGTTGACCAAAAAACGGTTCTTAGTTCTGTCCTTTGTCTAAGTTATAACTTAATGGTTTTAATACTTTTAATGTACGAGTTATAATAGAATACCGGTACCGGTAGGCCTAAACTTAGCACATTCAGATTGTAACAATTTTATTCACCTCATAAATCCTCTAAACAAAAACACAATAGTAAATTCAACTCTGGAAAAGGCAACATCAATCTGTCAATCAATAGACCTTAAGACAAGATAACTAAAATAACTGGAAAGATCTGGAAGTACCTACCAACAGCTAACTCCACAAAATTTCCTGGAATAATTTTAGACAATCATGAATTTGGCAAGAACATGTTGAATTCCTATGTAAAAAATTAAATTCCTCACTAAATGTCATGAGAAGAAGTAAGAACACTGACGAACGAAGAAACTGCATTCATAGCAAATCACTCAATCTTTGCATCATACATTAGATACAGACCGCATGGGGAGCAGCATCAGCATTCAACATCAATAATTTCTCTTTTTACAGAAGGAGGCATTGAGATCAATACTGAGACTAGAGAACCCCTTGGAACACTGCTTTCAAGCCATTTTGTCAAAAACACCATATCCTCAACCTATATCCTCGAAACAGTTATCCTAGCAAAAAACTCCTCACCACTTCTCTGCCAAAACCAACATACTCATTTCACCAGACATAGATCCGCCATTGACCTACCACAAAACCGTCTTAAAAAATCCAGTAACACTACAATACATACAGGGTCACGTTTCTTCAACCTACTTCCGGACCACTTCAAACCTTAATCAACAGTAAATTTGCCTGTAAATTAAAACAATGCCTACTTGAGCGACCATGTTACACCATCTCTGAATTCATAGAAGAACACACCTTTTAACATAGAAGAACTTACATAGCCTAACACACAACTAAAGAAAGCCTACAACAAACGGAACAATAATCACTCTACAGACAAGGAGTGAAGAAACTTGAATAGATGACAACTCCCCTTTCCTTGGATTGTGGCGAGGACTTTGGATGGTAAGTGGTAGGCCAAACCAACAGACAAAACCATAATTTTGGATATCTATTTTAAATTGCACTTTACTTAAGTTAGGTAATTTTTATTGATAACTTAATGGCAGCCTGATTAAAGGAAAGATAGGTAAGTAGACTCCCTCTTATCCGGACTCCTCGGGACCCAGGCCAGTCCGGATATCGGGTTTTCCGGTTAAACCGACGTCTCCGAAATCTCGTTAAAACGGACTGTAAAAATGCATACTGTATACAGTATTTGACTTAAATTTAGGACAGCATTGTATTTAAGTTAGACACACGATCACTGGTCTCAAATCTTTCCCACGAGAACAGTCGTTACAGTACCGCCCACTTCCTACCGATCTACTCCGGTTAAAACGATGTGTTGATAAAATTTGTCTGGTTAAAGAGATGTAATTTCTACCGAGTGTAGTCCAGTTAAACCGATGTCCAGTTAAAAGGAGTCTGGATAAGAGGGAGTCTACTATAACTTAAATCACTTTTTAAAACACGTAGAGTGCGGCCGTTCCCGATCGGGTACGGCGCTTGGCCCCCGTACGGTGCGTCCGTACCCCATCGGGAACGCTCGGTAATGCCTTTTGTATATCTTCGTTTTTGCTCTAGCGTCGGCCGAAAGCGGACCTATACGACGTTAGCGTGTAGTATGTGACTTGCATTTTGTTGTGGTGTAGGTTGGTAGTAAATTTCCCCGTAAAATTCCCGTCTGGCAATCTCAAAAGTCTTCTTTTTGTCCCGTCTTTTTCCCTCCATTTGGCAATACAATTCCAATGGGACCGGCTACGTTCCAAGCAGTGCTGCTATCTGTGGGTGTTTAGCGAACTACATCGACTCTCGTTGTAAAGCAGGACATCCCCTCACGTTATTTGCTATTCGTCAGACCAAAATTGAAAAGGCCAATCACACGCGGCAATCGGGTTTACTCGACGCTGAGGGCTGCGCCGCACTGGGGATACGCCCGCTATTTGACGTGCCGCAGCGAACGTGTTAATGGTATAGGCCAGGCCTAAGCCTACTTACATATTTCTATAACTGACATAAGATACCGGTATTTTACATAGCTTAGGCAAGAGTATAAGTTAAGTGTTTTAATTTAACTTATTTGATCAAACTAATATTTCTTTAAAAGCATATTTTAGGAATGTACCAGTCTTAAGTTATGTTATCGAAATCCGACAAGACATCTCATAATTCTATGGGCAAAACCTACAAAAAAATTATGTTATTTAGGCCTGGGACCCCTTAAGTTAGTTAGTTTCTTCTAAAAGAATTGTTGGAGTTGTCTTAAATTAAATTATTTGTAGTAGGATCAATAAACTAAACTATTCCTTAAGTTTTTTGCGGTTTCTTTATTGTTTTTTGCTTAAATGCTTATTGATATTAAGAAGCTTCGGCATTCATGTTAGAAACAAGAAAAAGTGGTAAGCCTAGCCTAACTTAGGCCCTATTCCTATTTATATCTGCAGAAAAAATTAATTAGTCCTACAAGGTTATAATATCATCTCTTAGATTTTCCCCATACTAAATTGCAAATATGAACTGTTTTCATTAAGTATGATCTAAAGGCAAAGCTTTATTGAGCGAAGCTCTTTGAAATCGGACCTTATGCAAACTATGTAATCAATTAACTCAATAACGGCTGAACATATTGAATCCAAACTTACCAGGGGTATTTCGCCAAATATTTTTGATGTTACTAAACTAACAAATTTCAATTTGAACACCTGTACACTTTTAGACTGACATAAAATTTGCATTGTTTAACATTAGTTTTATGGGTTGCCATGTTGGTTACGAGATAACAACGTAGATGTAAACAAAGAATCGTAGCGTAGGCGACTCGACATTTTGTACCCACGAGCATCTCAGCTTGCTCATGTGTAGATGGCCTAGGTACAGTTCCTGCTTTACAAAATACAGTACAAAAGAAAAGGGAAGTCCGATGAATACCATTAAGCATTGATTAATAATGCAGTACGGTACACAGATTTGCATTACTAATTACTGTCGGCCTTATACAAGCCAATTATTTCTTTTGGTGATTCTTATTTTCTATTAGTTTTGTAGCAAATATTGCTTTATAACAACAAAAGAAAATCTTCTATTGAAAATTATAGAAACTGCATATCCGAAGCAGGTATTCAGTATTTTCAAATGTTGATAACAGTAACTTAGCCTATCCTATATAAATACAGTTGCTAGGCCTGTACAGAAAGTCAAGTTGCGACTCTAGGCCTAGTAATTATTAAATAAATACGCAGCCTTATATAGAAGTCCACTTTTAACTAAGGTGTGCAAATAATTGGCTAGGCCTGTACAAATATGATTACGATGCATAGGCATACTAGCCTAGACTACTAGGCCTCTATAGAAGTTCAGTAGTTAAAACTATTTAAGTAAATATTTAACTAAGCTTGTATTGAAGTCTATTTTTAGCTTAAATGAATAAATAAGTTAGTCGTCTGTAAAGAAATACAGTTACGATTAGAAAAGTAGGCCATTAATTAATTAGCCCAGACTGCTCAGCCTGTACGGGAGTACAGTTATAACTAAGCGTCATATGATAATCGATATTCCTCCTTTTACCTTTTTCCTGTAATAGGATGAATTATTGCAGCCAACAGAACTAGCATGTTGATATTTTGATGTCAGGTTGGATATTTACAACAATCCAACAGGTTTTACATTTTAAACACAACAACTCAACTACCTATTCCTTTAAACTGAATGGTGTCAAATGTCCTCGAAGGCAATTTCCACTAAATCTTGCCTGTGTGATTTTGGTACATCGCAGCCAAGCTGCATACTGGTACTGTATATCAGGCTGTGGTGGACCTAGGAAAGTCAGAATTTTCCCTCGGCTTGACTTAAGTAGCATTAGGAGTTATAACCATCGAGGGCTTGTTGATCGATCCATTTTCTATAGAGAGAGTCGAAAGCATAAATAAGAGCAGCAAATTGCAAGCAAAGAAAAAGAGATTGAAAGACTCAATAAAATTGCTTATAACTGTAGGCTTGAATAATAAGGTTTGTATCAATCAATAAAATTATTTTTTGTTTTTATGCTGTAATCCATATTATATTTGGAAACAACAAATTGTATTTTTAAAGAAGGTTATTTGTCTATATCGATGCTTGCTTACTCCGCTCAATTTGCGGACCTGAGGTCGCATGCCTAGTAAAAAAACTGTTTGGCTAGCTACTGTGTACATAGGCCTAGGCTAGGGAGAGTGAGTCATGTCTAAAACTAACCTATTACATACGCCTTTGTTGAAAAAAAAAATACTTACAACGAATTGAGGATATTCATACATGTATGTCATGTCACATCCATTTTCTCCGTGTTTGGATAAAAATTTGTTCAAACCTAATAAATAGCCAAAAAACACAAATGCGGAAATAAACACAAATCCATCAAATACAAGCAGCCGAGCCATGTTTAACTTCAGTCGGCTGCTCGACGCGCTTCGCTCGAGCTCGAAGCAGTAAGCACTAATCAGGTCTACCATCATAACAACGTCGAGGAAAAAATATATTCTGTAGCAAGGCTACCATACATATAAAAAAATCAATAGAATTTTTCCGCTATCAAAATTAAAATAGTAGTGTAAGTAGTCTTCCTGTAAATTTGTAGCTTCGCATAAGAATGGAGAAATGAATAGGTAATAAAATAAATGAGCAAGTTGGATGACGTTTAAGAGAAAACATAGCAACATAGATTAACCATTAAATAGTTGTTAATCAGTGCTTGAACTGTTAAAAGCCAATGGTCCTAGGGTTTTAGGTCTTAATACTTTAATACTTTTTTATAAAATGGTGACTTAGTTCTAGGGGAGCGTAGAGCTACAACAAAAACCTTCCACGGCACTCAATTATGACTCTGGACCACCCTCCACCCTCCCTTCTCTTCGGCCCAGCTCTTGCCGTCGAAAAATATGGTACACTACATACGATTTAATAATTTGTTTGTAAATCATTTAATTTCTTAATGTGTTTAACTTATTTGTGCCGGTTTAAAAACTCTATTTATTCTGTCATACCTTTATTTGCAAAGAATACAGTGTGATACAAAAACAGAAATTTATGGTTAGGTAGGGTCCAAACAAGATGCTGTGAACTTAAATTCATTGCTTACCAATATTATATATATAGTGACACAATATGAAACATGTTGGGTAGGATTGAGGCAGTGAGCTACCAAGGCAAAAAAAGGCTCGAGACATCTTTTATACGCCTAGGTGAGCCACGACGACCTGTTCGTTTCGTTCACGGTGAGGTTATTGTGGAATGGTTGTGGGTGCAGCCGCTGCCATAGTGCCGGGTGGGGCTGTTGGAGAACGACGATTGACAAGGTTGGATGTGTTGTTGTGGTTGACCGGGTCGTCGCAGTAGGTTGGGTGGTTGTTGGTTTGGGAGATAGGTGAGATGTGTGATGGTGAGGCTTGGGCTTGGACGATTGGCACGCTCGAGACACCTCAGGATGAGGTGTTTCAGAAGATCTCTGAGGGGTAGTGTGGAATGGGCGTCGTAGGGGTCTTGGGATGCCAACCTCAATGCGCACCTCTCACGGTAGCTTTTAGTCTGGAGATACAACTATCAGTTGTTAAACTATTAACACAAGTTTCATGTGATCAGATGATGCATACTGGCAAACCCATTACTATTATAAATCTAAAATACTCACGCCGTAGCAAACCTGCAGACTAAGCGAATTTCCATTTAGCTGGCTGGATTTCTACAAAAAAAATACCCTGAACATTGTCAGATTTATTTCCTATTTTATTTTAATTAATTTTAATGAGTACCTAGGTTTGCTGCTACAGTGAAGGTATTAAAATGTGTTTTTTATTGAAATGTTGATAGCTGAAATAAACAAAATTGCCAAATGTTAATAAAAAATATCCATAAACAAGCAAACTACAACAGTTTATTTATTCTCTATAAGAATAACACGGGAATTTTTAATTTAAAGTTTTTTTTTTAAACTATCTCCGTAATCGTTAGGAATAAAACAACGCTTTAATATACAAAATTACCTATTTATTTTTTAAGCTCTACGGAATGGTCTGGAAAAAATAGTAAATTTTATGTTTTTAGAGTCAAAAATAGGGAAAATCGATACCCCATAAAACCCTCCATAAACCCCCGTTCCCATAGTCCGATCATGCTGGTCTACGAACTCGTTCGAATAAACGTAGGTTAACACGTTTCTACTAAATTTAATCAAAATCAGTTCATTTTTGCTCGAGTTATCGTGCTAACGGACACACATATATTAAATATATATACATATAAATTTGAACGGATGGTGTTTTTGGCTACTAGGGACATCAAAATGAAAAAGCAAATCGGTCCCGGGTCCAAGTCTTACCATGAGACCTACGGTAATAGCTTATTACTTATATGGGAAATTTCCTAAAATAGCCCCACCGCAGCAAACTTGCAGACTAAGCGAATTTTCATTTGCCTAAATTGATTTTAGATTAAATCGATTTACATAACATTAGATTTAACGAGTAGGCTACCTAAGTGTGCTGCTACAGGGAGGCTAATAACATGTGTGTTTTAGTAAAATATTAGTAGCCTAATACAGTATAAAATAAATAAATTTGCCAAATTTGATCAAAATATATCCACAAACAAGCAAACTAGAACACTTAACAGTATTCCCCATAAGAATGACATGGGAATTTTAAATTTGCAATTTTTGAATTTTCTCTATAACTAATGGTACAACACACTTTGGGATATTACCTACATTATTTGTTTTTGTTAAGTTCCTAAAGTGGTCTTTAGAGAAATTGGGAAATTTTTGTGTTTTGAGGGTAAAAAAAGAGAAAACCCTATTTTTACCCATAAAAACCCTCTTAAAACCCTTTTCCCATGGTCCGATCATGCTTGTTCGTGGATTCAATTAAGTTTATCTCGCCATACACCTTCAAACCAAATTTCTTAAAAATCGAAAAAATACTCAAGTTATATTTAAATATATAAATTTGAACAAATAGTGTTTTTGGCCTCTAGGAACATCAAATGGAAAAAGTATATCGGTCCCGGCTCCAGGTATCACCGTGACACCTACTATAATAGCTACTTCCCTATTGGAAAATTCGGTAAAAATCTAACTTTCATAATTATTTTCAAATCTACATGGATAAAGATTTCCATTGACCATTGACATATTAATTAATAAAATCGGGCCCGCAGAACGATATAGGTATTTATTATTTGTTCAAAGTTAAACAACAATATCGCAGTGTTTTCTCGCCACTATAAATTTGGATGTTAAGCTTTTTTGCAAATAAGATTTAAATGGTGAGGAAATCGACCAAAGTAGAAGGTGGTATTCTGAAAGAGAATCAAATTTCAAACAAATTGATACCATGCATTTCTTGAAAATACTAAAAAACGCAGCCAGAAGTTGCATCAAAACAAAAAATGTGAAACCCCACGGTTTTAATGTACTTCTTATGGAAAACATAGTTTTTTTTTTTTAAATTTCACAATAAATCATAACAAAAACAAAATTTATTACAAAAAATATTTGCAAATCTTTATCAATTGAGTTTTTAACTACCGTACCTATTAATTAATACAGTCGGTCCAGTAGAACTCTAGATTTAGTTGTACAGAGGTTGTTTAAACTGAATCATATATAAGTAGATGAGAAATCACCCAAAACTAATAGCGACAAAGAAAATACCTTACCCTACATATACACCATACCAAATTAAAGCCCAATCCGACCGTTAGTTAATGGGTGACTGGACTTCAAACAAAACAAATAAACAAATAAAAAAAAACACACAAACTTTCACATTTATAATAGTAGTACGATGAATTCATTGTTTGAATACTCATAAGGAACGTGGGAAACTCCAGAGCCACTGGGGCGGAGCCGGAAAGGATTTTTGAGATAAGAATATGTCTATGTGCTGTATGTTATAATCGGGAATATGAGCTATCATCACACCAAATTTCAACCCAATCCGACCAGTATTTTTCGCGTTAACTTGTCACTTGTCACAAAACATCCATCTATACATCCATCCATCCATCCATACATCTAAACTTTTTTACTTATAATATTAGTAGTATTATTATTTTGCCATTCTCTTGGCTATGATAGTTTAAGATCAAACCAAGAACCACAAGCCATTGGAAGGGTGCAGGTCGAGACAAGTTGGACACCAAGGGATAATTGGATAACTTGTAACCAAACTTTACTCTCCTTGTCAGCGAATATTATCCTTAATTAATGTGAACTTATTTTGAATTCAAAGTACTTCACTAATAAAACAAAACCTTTAAAATAATTTTGCTGGGAAAAAATATTTATTAGAAAATAGTTATGATCTATATACTCTTTGGTATATGTTATAAAGACGTACAGTTTTATCTACCATATTCAGTTTTATAAAATGAAAGTAACTGTAAAACAATTTAAGTATCGGTAGCTCTTATGTATATGTTTTGGGATATGTTATATGTTTATATAACATATTCCAAAACAAATACATAAAAACTACCGATACTTTGTGTACGTTAGTGTATAACCTATTGTATTGAGCTTTATGAAAACATATAAGTGTCTGTAAACAAACTGAGTGGTTCTAAAAATATTGGCTGGATTATATGATAATATTTCCCCCCTGCTATAGCTCAATTTCGATGCACTTGTTTTTGTATGCAAAATAGGTAAATTAACAAACACATAATATAGAAACGTGTAATTCCATTATAATGGAAAACAACTGTGAAGTAAATAAACGATGTTGGCAAAAGTTGATTCATCAGTGTAACGATCCGGTTTTACAATAAATATTCAAGTTAAGTGATATTTGGAGTGAGGGTTTATTAGATTAGTTACAAAATGTTGAACACTGAACTACAAGCACCCACTCTTAACATTGTTGATGTATTACGTTCCAGAGTGTTCTCCTCGCTTTAAAGTATTATTTTATTCATATTAATCATAAATGCCAAGTGTAAAATATTAGTTAAAAGTTATGTTACAGGTACTGTTTTCAGTTTTTGTTTATACTACAACCAAGAACCACGGCTATTTGTAAAATGGTAAGTAATTTTACAGATTTAGTAGTAACTCAGTCTTGTATGTACCTTATCCATTTATAAGATCAAAAGTTTGGCTGCATGTTATTTTAGATGTGATAGATTTTACAATTTTATTAATTTGAAGTATAATAATTTTTTTTTAATTAATTGGATACTATATAGTTTATTATTTTCTTTAAAAGTTTAACGAACAGTGTAATTTAAATATTACTTGCAACGGTATTGTTTGAAAATATGATGTGAGTATTTCGTTATTCTTTTATTTTATTATAAAAGTAATTTCTTTTGATTGCTTATTTGGGTGCGTATTTAATTCTGAATCGT